GGTTGCATCCAGAGTTGGGTGTAACGCAGTAACGCGTTACTGTAATAATATTACTTTTGTCGGTAACGGAGTAGTGTAACGCGTTACTTTTATAATTCAGTAATCACACTACAGTTACTAACATTGCCCCGACACGCGTTACTTCGTTACTTTTATAAAATCAGTCATAATCACACTGACAGACAAGAGGGGTTTCCGCCGCAGGTTTATATGTACGTAATCTGCGCGACTTGCGCGTCCACATATCCACGTGCAGTGCTGCATAAACATGGCTGAGTCAGCGATAACTTTCGAGGGGTGGAGGTATGCCCATTATTTTGAGTTCGTCCGAAGAATAGACAGGAATGTGACGGTGAGGTGCAAACTGTGTCCAGGCCAGAAGCTGTTATCCACTGCTGTAAACACCACGTCAAACCTCAACAAACACCTGCAAAGAACACATGCTAAGGTGAAGCTAATAGCTAAGGACCCCCGAACCCAGAGTGAGGATGTTGTGCGCCGCCGCCGCCGACTCCGAAGCGGCACAAATTAGAATTTGGAGGACCGGTAACCAAAGCAGAGATGGACAGGCTTGTAGCATCCTTCATAGTAGAGGTAATGTTGCCCATTTGCACAGTGGAATCACCATCGCATCGTTCAGAGATATACTGCGCAAAATACAGATAGCAGGAGACAGAGGACAGCCATAGTCAGAGCTATCTGGATCAGTCTTATGCGACAATGGAAACTGAACTAAAGAGAACATTTGAAACTTTAGCAGTCTGCGTGATCTGCCTGTAGGGAGGGGCGGGCCGGCCCTGCGAGTAAAGTAACGAGTAAAGTAACGAGTAAAGTAACGAGTTACTTTATGTAGAGAGTAACGAAGTAGTGTAATATATTACTTTTTTTTTAAAGTAATATGTAATATGTAATATATTACTTTTTTTTAGTAACGACCCCATCTCTGGTTGCATCCCATGCCATTTATGAACCGGCTAACAGCTTTAAATGCTGATTTTAGGGAAAACATAGCCAGATAACTTTCCTGATTCAGCTTCAAGATTTTGGGCATGAAGCACTGGAGAATTTATGTTTGCCTTCAGGGGCAATATTGATGCTCACTCCAGGCTAACCCTGTTCTCTTTACATAGATATTGGGGAGCAAGATATAGGAACTTCACTTGGCTCTAGAGGGGCTTCAAGACATTACCAGCAGAAATACTTTTGCGCAGTTTATTTTATAAAGAGCAATAGCCATTGGGAAAACTCCAATTCGACCCACCAATGATGTGACTTCATCACTAACACACTTGTTGACACACTCGTTGACTCTCTCTGTGACAGACTTTTGGTTTATAAAGGCCCGGACACACCAGCCCGATTTTGGGAGTCAGAGGCCGTCAGAGGCCGTCAGAGGCAGTCGGGCATTCGCGGCGCCCTACTCAGGTTGGTGTGTCCCGCACCGTCGTCTCTTTACGGCACCTTTTCACACCTCCCGACGCCTCCCGCAACAACATGTTGAATCGGCCGCGGGAGGTCAGAGAAAGTTGGCCCAAGCAATCACTCTGATTGTCTGTTCACACTACCGCTGCCTGCTGGTAAGGACAGTTATTGCCACTCGTCGACTGAAGTATTTGCGGTGTGTTCGTAGGCGGGCGGCGTAGCGGGCGGCGTAGCGGGCGGCGTAGCGGGCGGCGTAGCGGGCGGCGTGGCGGGCGGCGTGGCGGGCGGCGTAGCGGGCGGCGTAGCCGACGCAGGCGACGTAGCCGACACAGACGACACAGACGACGTAGCCGACGCAGCCGACGCAGGCGACGAAGCTGACGTAAAAGTCGGGACGCCTTCGGTACGCGTTCTTTGGTCTCAGGTGGGTGTGTAGCGGCCTTTAGGCTGGTCCACGTTTCCTGCAGCTCAGCCAAAAAAAAAGACTATCACACAGATCCTGAAAAGACATTTAGTTGTTTAAACCTTTTAGTTATTTGCCAAAGCTGAGATCCCCTCAAATGAAATTCCATTGTAATGGGGGGAAAGCTGAGAGGTTGATATCTATAAATATCTGGACGAATTAAAGCAAAACTCGAAGGCTGGATGCCACAAGAGACAGAAGGAATTTAATTATCTTCTTCTGTAATTTGGGTAAAGCAAATGCTGCCGTGCACCTACCCACCACACGGAGAACAATCAGAGCATCCCCTCTGATGTCCAGACGCTGAAAGAAGGTCATAAGGACTCTCCAGAGCCTGTTTGCGAGCATGTCTGTTTGGGTAAGATTCTCTGCCAGGATGAACTATGGAGATGGTATGAGATGGTGCCAAATCAGTCACACTGAGGATGTAAGGTCTGCCATTCGCCTTGAAGGCAGCCTGCACAGCGTCCATAAAAGGGCCCATGAAAAAACAGAGGCTGCAGGCTTACAATAATGTCCCTTCATGTGTGCCCTGCGAGTGGGGTTGGAGGATGAAGCAACAAACACATTTGGTTAAACTGTGAAATTTGAACTCTGTATCTATCTCTTGCCAGTATGGCCCCATGTATCTGTGCCTGTGGTTCCTCCAGCAGACGCAGTAAAAGGAGGATGTTAATGAACTGCTGTCACACGTAGGCTGGTGCCTTTGAGGCAGCAGTCAGGATTCTCTCCACGTCCTCAGTCTGTTTGCAGTGTGGAGGCTGTGATGTGCTGCCTGACTGCAGAGAGACACTCGCGGACAGACAGGAGGGGACCGACTCAGTACAGGGGGGCCCTGCTGCGGTCCCACTCTCTCACAAGCAGAGCAAAGGCTCAGCTCTATGCGGGAGTGTGTGTGTGTGTGTGTGTGTGTGTGTGTGTGTGTGTGTGTGTGTGTGTGTGTGTGTGTGTGTGTGTGTGTGTGTGTGTGTGTGTGTGTGTGTGTTTCTGCTCCTCTATGTGTGTGCTTCTTTGTCTGAGATGCATGCTGGCTAGTGTGCAGGTGCATTTCTCAGCAGGAAGCATATTGGAATACATGCAACATGCGGAATATACTCTGGAAGCATGTTTGTAGCCTGTTGATTGGTACTTAGTATAACCAAACAGATAAGGAGAGCAAGGATGATTGTGATTGTGTTAGTGATGGAGACAGAGCCGGTCTGCTCACTGCTTTACCCTGCAATATGCCACTGCTGCACCCTGGGTAGTGTCAGAATGGTTTGGGCACCCACTGTGCCACCTGTCACCCCCAGCCACGAGGCTCAGTGCCAGTCCACCCACCGGACACCCAGGCCCAGTCTCAATTAGATTGCTATCACACGACCAGGATTGGCTCTTTTTCCCAACAGGAGATTACTCTCTCTCAGCTGACATTGCTAAATGTGACCTCTTTTACAAAAACTCCATCTGCAGGTAGGATATCAGCACTCTACATTATTCAAGTTTTAAATACAAATGTACAGCTTGGATGTTGTAGGGGTGGGAATTCTTCTTGTCAGTGTAGTTGCTAATGACATTATCACAAGAACTCAGCAAATAGGGAACCCCTTGAAGGGAATTTGGGGACTCTCCTGTGAGCGTGACATCTGGCTCCACCAAACATCTGAGTAAGCAGATTGGCCCTGCAGGCCTGGTGTGACAGCCGACGAGGAAGCTGGGAGATGTGGGAGAAGTGATCTGCACAGCTCTGCTGCTCAAGCTGTCACTTTAGCTTGGCTTGGCACAGTTACATTCTCCCTGGCTCTGAAGCATTAGGCCCACTCCTCTGACTGCCGCTGCCCTGCCGGCACCCAGCCAAGTCTTTCATGGGTGAGGTCCATCATCACTCTCCCTTTTCTTTCTTTCTCTCTCTCCTTCTACTGCTCAGTCTCTCTCAGCAGGGCTCTGGCTTGTCTATCGCAATCGTTCTCTTTTTGTCTTCCCCTGCCTCTTTTTTTATCCAGTCCCCAACAGAAGCCAGGAGATGGGATCCATTATAATCGGCCATTATTTGCTATTCCCAGTTCCTGTGCAGTACTCTGAGCTACTCATATGCTCTCTCCTTGCCATCTTTGTTCTTCTCTAAGTAGGCGTTCAGTCGTTCAGTAGTCACTCCTCTCAACAGGATCCACTTTGGCGTGTTTAGACAACCACTTTAGAGATCCTCAGTACAAGGTAACTTGCTATGGCTTACATAAATGCTCGGCTGAACAAAGACTCAGGAAGAAGACACTTTTGCATTGTGGGAAAGCCACTTAAAAGCCATACATATGTACATAAAAAGTCAACAGTTTAGGTTACTAACCTTCAGTATGTACTCATAGTTTACTCCTGTGGATAAACTCTCAAATTCTAATATAAAGAAAAAAAAAAGTATATGCGGGGAACAGGAGAGCTATTAAAGCATAGTAGTGTAGGAGCATTTATTACTTTGCCAACAAGTGCTGAATATCTGACTTTTTCTCGCACAGCCACTGTAAACATGATAATAATATGGCTCTTAGTTGGGCAATTGAAAAACGCTAATACCCAAACAATACGTTTCCCTCAGTGCACACACTGTCAGCCTTCAAACTCTGAAATGTTAGCATTACAATAATTGCATGCAAATGATTCAGTTGGTTGTGATTTGATTACTGGTTAAGGTTAAACCAACGTTAATAAACCACTGCCAGGTGATAGGCTAATGGGCAGGACATACTGTATCTAAGAGGTTGACAAATCACAACAGAACCGGCCACCTAACCAATCAGAGCAGACTGGGCTCTGGTTTCACACAGAGGGTGAAAAGAGGTGCTGCAGCACAGGCAGTAAGGGGGAAAATAAAGAGCTTTTTGAACATGACAGCATGTAAACATGTCACAGTAGAGACATACAAATAGAAACATGAACCTGAAAATGAGCATAATATGTCATGATATAACAATCACCACATTCTTAGTCAGCATGTTTTCTCTACTTAGGATGAGCATAATAGGGCCCCTTTGAAGAGTTTTAGTTGGCCTTAAAACCCAAAAATCTAGTGCAGAGAGTTGCACTTTGAGTTGTCCTAACTTTTTCATTTTTACAGTGCTTATATATTTGAGATTTCACTCACTTGTCTGGCCTGCCGGGTACCTGCAGGCGTAAGCGACATTTGTTAGCGCTCTGGATCTGTTCCTCTTTGATGCGAATAAGCCTCTGTAGAGCCAGACACCAGTCCTGTGCCACAGTGGTGTTCAGGTTCTTTGAAAGGAGAAACACACACAGTTCAAACTTGTTTCTCAGCTGGAGTAGGTCAAAACGCACATATCTTTAACAACCACCAGTTCACTCACATCAAACTGCATTACATTATGTGATGCTACACAGTTGTGGCATTGTTATCTCCCTCAAATGTAATGCTACATTTAACACAAGCATCCATTCTACAGTAAAATATTGTCCCTCAAGTCAAAACAGAATCAAATCCATTTCCTAAAGTCAATGAGCTGTGCAGAAGTATTTTGTCAGTTTTTTTCTTCCCCTGGACAATATTATTACTGGTGGAAAGTGAAAATCAGACATTTATTGCCAGGCTAATATCACTCCTCCTGAGGACGTTGTGCTCGTTAAACGCGGGGAGGCAAAGGTGCCACCATTAGCCTGAGAGGCTCTTTGGTGATTGCTGGAGTATTCCTCCCTGGCTGTTGTGTAGTGTGTTGTACGGTTAATGTGTTAGTGGCAGACTACTGGGAAGTGTCCTGATTGTAACTCCACAGGAGGGGCGCTGCCGCTTTTTCTCTCAACAAAGCAAATCTGACTTTTGTATATCAGAGGGAACATCTCATACCCTCCATCGTTGCCCTGTTGATGAGGAGATAGATGGGAGACTTCATGCTTTGGGAGATTGAAGATACAAAATGAATATTTGGTTCAATCTTTAAACATCTAGACTCCTTTTGCAATTATTTTGCACTGGATCCAGCAATTTAAATGAGCTGTTTCTTCTTTAGTGTTGTCTTTGATGCCTCTGTGCTCTTATGGCAGATTCACTTTTATACAGTAAGCTACAGTTTACCTAATACATTCCTATTATACATACATACAGTATATATTCATGTATCAGACAATATTTTGAAACTGGTTTTTAAATTATTTGTGATACTAAAGGCAGTTGTTGGATGAAACGATAGCGATCTTTGTTTTAAGTGTTCAATTTCAATGAAAGAAATAAAACACTGAGAGCTAGGTTGTGTAATGGTGTAATATAATTGGAACAAACCATGAATTTAGCATGTTTGCCTATAGAGTCAGTTGGACTGAGGGAACCTGTGCCTATCAACTTACCTAAGGCTTTGGGTAAGATCTCAGATTAACGTGAAGCAACACGTACCTGGTACATCCCCTGCAGCGTGCCCACCAGCAGGGTGACCTCCTCCACCACAGAGAGGTCGTGCTGCAGCTCCTGCAGCTCCTGGTAGAGCCGCGGAGGGCCAAGGATCGCTTTACCTAAGAAGTGGGCAACGCACAAAACCTTAGAGTTTAATCCAACATACTGAATATTAAAATGCAAAATAAAATGTACACTTAGTGTCAAAATATAATAAGAAAATACCACAAAAATATCATAGAGCTCAAGGACACCAGTGGTGTTGCTCTGTTATATAAATGTTTAATTCATTTTGCATGTCCTGTATTAATAATGATAATAATAATAATAATAAACATTATTTATATAGCACCTTTCTAAACAGAGATGTGCATATAAAACAGAACACCGTTCAAAATACCAAACAGATCATGCATTTTAGCCATGCCTCATTTCGCTCTATGTGCTGTTTGCTGTCTACGGGTCTGATTCTGCTGACCACGCCCCCCTGCAGGAGAGGGGAGACGTGCTCTGATCAGCTGCTGCGCTGTCAGAAGAGGCGGAGAAAAAGAGATCTCCGTCCTCCGTGTTTTATTATATAGAGTCGTTATTCATTTGTTTTAAAGCTCAATAAATAACAAAGAAGACCTTTGACCGGCACTTTTCTAATTTTGTCCGGAAGATTTAAACTTTAACGGACATCTTGACCGGCGAAAGACACTGAAACTGAAACTCTGCCGCACGGTCCCCTCGTTCCTTGGAAGAGGCGGAGAGGTGGGTGTTTGTCATCTGCTGGTGGACTAACCGGAGAGAATTACAGTGCTTGCCTCGACGGGGAGGGATTGCATTGCAGTGGGAGCAAACGCTTGCCCCGGGGAGAGAGAAAAAAAGCCACAGCGGAGAATAAACAGAAGGGTAACCATGGTAACTATGGGCGGGAAGTCTTCTTCGCTGCTTTTGTGGCGGACTACAGCGCCACTTACAGGCCTGGCATATGTACTATAGCGTCTCCAGCGCTTTCGAACGGCAATGGCCGTGGCTGTCTCCTCCTGATTGGTGGAGTTGGCCCAATAGCCATAGCACCACCGTCCTGACGTCAGGACAGTGTTCAAATCTGGATCAGTTTTTATCAGATCCGTTGCAGCCCCTTTTTTAGAGATTTGGGTATGGAGGAAAATAGAGAGAGTTGTGTTTTCTGACACTTGGTGAGTTCCCTGGAACACCGGGGACACATATTCATGTATAAAAGACGTACAAAAGTGCATTTTGCATGATAGGTCCCCTTTAAATAAAATACAAGAATGTTTATAAAAATAATTGAAATGCAACATGCACAGAGGCAGAGCCTTTGCTGTCACGGCTACACTTTTATTCACCTTTAGAAACGTACCTTTTTAGAAATGCCTTTATGAGATTTTATTTAAAGGGGACCTATCATGCAAAATGCACTTTTGTACGTCTTTTATACATGAATATGTGTCCCCGGTGTTCCAGGGAACTCACCAAGTGTCAGAAAACACAACCCTCTCTATTTTCCTCCATACCCAAATCTCTAAAAAAGGGGCTGCAACGGATCTGATAAAAACTGATCCAGATTTGAACACTGTCCTGACGTCAGGACGGTGGCGCTACGGCTATTGGGCCAACTCTCCACCTATCAGGGGAATGTGGGGTTGGGCCACGGCCGGCCATTGCCGCTCGAAAGCGCTGGAGACGCTGTAGTACATATGCCAGGCCTGTAAGTGGCGCTGTAGTCTGCCACAAAAGCAGCGAAGAAGACTTCCCGCGCATATGGTAACCATGGTTACCCTTCTGTTTATTCTCCGCTGTGGCTTTTTTTCTCCCTCCCCGAGGCAAGCGTTTGCTCCTGCTGCTTTAATGTAATGCAATCCCTCCCCGTCGAGGCAAGCACTGTAATTCTCTCCGGTTAGTCCACCAGCAGATGACAAACACCCACCTCTCCGCCTCTTCCAAGGAACGAGGGGACCGTGCGGCAGAGTTTCAGTTAGGTTTTCTTTCGCCGGTCAAGATGTCCGTTAAAGTTGAAATCTTCCGGACAAAATTAGAAAAGTGCTGGTCAAAGGTCTTCTTTGTTATTTATTGAGCTTTAAAACAAATGAATAACGACTCTATAGGCCTATAATAATATAATAAAACCATAGACTGTATATATAAATAAAACACGGAGGACGGAGATCTTTTTTTCTCCCCCTCTTGACTTGATCAGAGCACGTCTCCCCTCTCCTGCAGGGGGGCGTGGTCTCACAGAATCAGCCCCGTAGACAGCAAACAGCACATAGAGCGAAATGAGGCATGGCTAAAATGCATGATCTGTTTGGTATTTTGAAAACAGAAACGTATAAATATACCTTATATAGGTATGGCCCTACAATATATCATTTAAATATAGCATGATAGGTCCACTTTAATATAATGTTTTTTTTTAGGGTTACCTTGAAACATCTCTTCATGTACACCAGATGAGAAATGGCCTTTTGGCTAACTCTGGCAAGTTTTAGTGCAATGTTTATTAATGTTTCTTTTAAATAAACTATTTAATGAAATGGGGTGATGTCTTCAAATTGATGATTTAAAATGAATAACTAATACACAGTAAAAAAAAAACTGAAATATATGTTTTCAAAGCTGGAACCAGTAAATATCTGGCAAAATCTTTTTAAGAAAAGAACATGTAGCTTTCTAGTTTACTGTGTTGGAGCTATACATTGATTTATAGTATTTCATAGTTAAACAATGACTATGAGATAGTCAATGACTTTCCATTATCCTTGTTAAATAAACAAAATTAATTAAATTAAATGTTTGGCTAATCATTTAAAAGATCACCATTATATACCATAAACATACAGTACATGGTATTGTAGCAACTGTTGTGATGTTGGCATACACTGTACAATACGTCCAAGGTTAAATGCTCTACACACTCAGAGAAAACAATGACAGTTTCTGAGAACTGGTGGGAGTGCAGAAAGAAAAAGTTGCTTTTACAGAGACTCCAGTGACACTAACAAAAGATGTGCAGATGGATCGATATTCATTATTTGTTGAACTACACAGAATGAATTTATGAGTAAAAAAAATCAGATGGTGAAACTGTTATTTGGAGCTATGATGCCCTTTTGCTGGCCAGAAAGAATGCAGGTGTCTCATTAGACGCAAAATTCGGCATCGATTTGAGTCGCGCTCTCTTCAAAGTCTCCCTCTCCGACTGCTGCGAATCGATAGCTGTGTCTCCTCCTGTCTGCCGTCCTCCGTCCCTACTCCCCTGGCCCACATCTTCCCCAGCAGCAGGCTCCATGAAAACCGCCTAATTAAATTCTGCAGGTAGATTTTGTTCCCGAGCTGTCCTGCACTGTCACCACTGCCACGTAATAAAGTAGCAGAAGAGCTGAGCGGGTAGGCGGGCTTAGGGAGGCATGCTCCTCCGAGGGGAGCAGCTGTCTTTTGTCCGTCCACGTGCATAAATGAAGTGAGAGTAAAGCCGTGAGAGGGAGAAATAGATAGTGGTGGGTTCGCATTGTTCATTTAAGAAGCTCTTTTGTTGCTTTTGGGGGTTTAATGGGATCGTTGTTACGGGCCGCCGGTGACATCTGTCATGTGTGCAAGGGAAATCTATAGGTGAGACATCTGAATATAAAAGGCTTTGCTGCGAGCTGCAAGAACAATGTCTTCCTGTCCTCTCAAGAGGGATTGTATGGACAGGTTCGTCGAGTCCTCCGGGGCCTGCTGTTGGCTACGGCCCCAGAGGTGAATGTGCTGAGTTGTAATCCAGCGTAATCCCGTTGGTGATGCAGGATATGGTTTTCACACTCAAACATGACTATCCATATCGGGCGCCAGGCACGTAGCTCGCCGGTGTGGACGGCCGGAGCCCAGAGGGGTCCAGCCCCGCTTTCTCTGGAATAAGTCAGCGGCGGAGCTGATGTGCCAGTGGTGCTAGCCAGTGGATTTAAAGACAATGCAGCTTCTACACCTGCATCCAAACCCTCGTCTCATCCACAGCCAAAGTAAACAGGTAAACTGCATGTATACAGCGCTTTGTCCCGTCTTTGCGACCCTCAAAGTGATTAACATATACAAGTCAGCATTTATCCATTCACAACCATTCATCCTGATGGCATGACTCACACACTGCTTGCCATGCCATCAGGAGAAACTTCGGGTTACTTATCTTGCCCAAGGAAACTTTGACATGTTGACTGCAGGGGTTGGGATGGAATTGCTACAAGACACTGGCATTGGCCTACCGTGCTGTGAAGTAATCTAGTCCTCCCTTCATCAAGGACATGGTTAAACCACACGGGCACTTTGCTCTGAATCGGCCAATCAGCTCGCTACTCCCTTCGTGTTGGACCAAAGTGACCCTCAACAAGATCATAACTTTTTGCTATCCTTTTTCCAGAATAGTGAAACAAGCTTCCCATTGACATTAGGACAGCAACAAGTCTACACATCCACAGGATGCAAATCCACCTTGTGTCTTGGCAAATAAACACAACTAAAAAAAAAACGATTGAAACTAATGCACCAGCAATTGGTGTTGGTTCTGAGTTTCTATGTTTATGGTTAATTCACTTTTTGTAAGTTGCTTTGGGTGAAAGCATCAGAAATGAAATGTACTGAACCAACACGCGTCTGATAAGACCATTAACTTCTTAATACAAAGCCAGCCCCAGGTACACATCTGACAAAAAATAAACTGCACATCCGACAGCATGTCCAAAGAGAAGCGATAAGGGAGATGTAATTGGAGGAGAATGAGGGTAAGTCAGTGTGAGCGTAAACTGGCACACTGCTTTCAAAAAAAGATGTACAAAGGGACAAGAGAGACATAGGCATAGACAAAAGGGTATCAGAGTGAGAAAGACAGGCCTGCATTTCCCTAAAGGCTGGCTTTATTCAATAAAAGGACACAGGGGCTGCAGAAGATGAAAAATGACACCATTTTGAGCCTCGCCTGAGGGAGCAAAGGATTTCGACGCCCCACTGAATGACATCACAGAGGTAACTATAAATAGAAGGGACGGTCTGCCTGGATGAACATTTAGGGAAGGGTCCCACAGATGTTCAGGGAGGTTGTTTGGATAGACATGATTAAAGTGACCGCAATGTGTTGAAAAGGTATAAAAAAAATTATGTCAGAGTCCAGCATGTACTGAAGGGTATAACATTTTCTAATATACTCAGGCACTGAAAAGGCTATACTCGTGCATAAAAAGCCAGTTGGGCGGCATCACTGTCACGTACTAAAAAGACAATCTACTTAGCTTTGAGAGATTTACTAATTTTTGTTTTATCGAATTTGTTTTGAAATGTATTAACAGTCTAGCTCCAGAGTCTCTTTCCAGATATATTCAAAGACAAGACAGTAACATAATAACTAGTAGCATGGGGAATAGCAATATTTACAGATATTAAATCCTTCACAATGTTGACAATAAACTTGACTGCTGTTAAATCACTGAAGCCCTCGACATGAAGGGTCAAACCAGCCTCTGTTATCTGAGGAGGTTGAGGTCCCTCAGCATCTGCCGCACAGTGCTGAGGATGTTCTATGGGTCTTTGGTTGCCAGTGCTGTCCTGGTGCTGTTGTTTGCTTGGGAAGCAGACGCCAACAGACTCAACAAAGTGATCCACAGGGCCAGTGATGTTGTGTGGGGGGGAGCTGGACTGTCTGACGGCTGTGTCAGTAAAGAGGATGCTGTCCAGGGTACGGAACATGTTGTCTGCCACCCACACCATGAGACGCTGGTCAGGCACAGAGTAGCTTCAATAAATGACTCAATCCACCAAGATGCACCACAGAGAGCCGCAGGAAGTCCTTCCTGTCTGTGGCCATCAGACTACTTGTTGTTTTGTTGCCTGTCCTTGTCTGTCTACCCTTCCCCAAATGTAAAGCGTCTTTGGGTCTTAGAAAAGCGCTATAGAAATAGAATTTATTATTATTATTATTACTTCCTTGGAGTGTCAAGCACTTAACTCCTTATGTTTCTATAATATTTGTATCTTTTTATGTTATCTTTATTGGACATATTACTTTCATTACTTATGTGTATCTAATGTTTCTTTGATTTTCCTAAAGTCTTTCTGATTCTGATACACCAGATGTTGAGTTTAAGCTAACAGCAATGTACATATTTTTAGCAGATTTACTCTAAATTAAGAAAATGTTTTGTGGTATGTAATGCTTTCAAATGTACATTTAATTCAGATTCATGAAATGCATGTAAATGTATATTTTCACTACACCGAAACTGAAGCTTAACTACTGACAACAATTGAACAATTGTTGAAAATTAGCAATATTTATAAACTCTCTATGCATCAGTTTCCTGCTTTATTTTGGAACTGTGTTAAATTGCATTGCAAAAAAACTATCATGAATAAATAAACAACTAGACGCAGGTAGAGGAAGGGAGACTGCTGCATTTAGCGCTAACCCTAAATGATCCCAAAACCTTGCAGCAAAGTTGTGAGTTTACAAGTATACGCTAGCTGAAAGTTAAAAAGCCAAACTTAATCCGGAGAGAATCTGAAACAGCTCCCATAACAGTTGCTGCTTGCTGAGCATGACACCGGTAGCTCTGAAGAAAGCAACCATTATTATTTGAGTCATGGCGCTGCAACTTAAAAAAAACAGCCTGTACCACTACATCCTGATAAGGCTTTTGTATCTCTCTTCTCCTATGGCACTTTTATCAGGGATCTCAAGCTCTGTATACACCAGAGTTTAGGGAGGGTTGGTGGGAGAACTAGTGTTTTCAACCATTGATTCCTATCTACTGTTACTGGCTCTCTAATTGGGCCTGGAAAGGTAGGGAATAATCTCTGCAGATTGATGACTCCACTCTGGATGTGTTTGTGGTCTATCAGAGAGTGAAATGAGACTGTGGGGATGCTGCGGCGAGGGGGATCTCCACCCCCGCATCGCTCTCCAAGATAAAACACCCTAGGCAGATTGGAACAAGCGACCGTCATCACTATCCTCCTCACAAACACATCCTCAATCAGAGTGACAAGCAACACGGACGCATCTCCAGCCCGTCCGTAGAGAACAGATTAGCCTTGCTGAGTCAGAGTGAGGGGCCGGGACTAAAAGTCGGTCCAAGTGATGAGATTAAAAGGATGACACATTGGGGAAGGGGGGGTAGGGTGACCAGGTGCCAACACGCCACATGTGGGACGACAAAGAGTGTGTTTGTGCGGGACAATGCGGGACATGTTACTGCAATGATAAGAGCTAGTTAAGATGTAATTATAATGTCTATTGAAACTGTTAGCTTATACATATTAATAACACTGCTTTTCTTAGGTTTAATTGTTTACACAAACTATGCAGAATTAAATATATTTGGTTTGAATGGAAATGTTTTCCAACAAACTATCATACATATATTTCTGTATTCTTTTGCAAGAGTCTGGAAAAATGACTGTGTGACTGAGTGCTGCACAGAGTGGTAGACGTTCATTATTTTCGCTGCACTATTTCTTAATGCTTTTATTTTCTTTCATTTTTGTAAAGCACTTTCAATCACCTTGTGTTGAAAGGTGCTATAGAAATAAATAAACTTGCCTTGCCTTGCTGCTACCTGATCTGTTCAGTAATCCTCTTTAGGTTTCAGGAGGAATATATCCATAGATCGATATTTTCTTCCGAGCCTGGCGTTTCTTCTGAGTTTCGCGTAACGTCTCTTCAAAACGTATTCGCTCCATGCGCAATTGAAAATAATTCTGGCAAATCTCACAAAAACTCTCTAGGAATCACACCCATGATTAAATACAAACCCTTATTCCAATGAAGTTGAGTAAAACGTAAATAAAAACAGAATACAATGACTTGCAAATCCTTTTGCACCTAAATTCAATTGAATACACCACAGAGACAAGATATGTAATGTTCAAACTGATAAACTTTAGGTTTATCTACGTCTTTTTCAGGGACGCCCCTGCTTATTTCAGCAAGACAATGCCACGTCCTGCAGGTTACACCAGTGTGGCCTCGCAGTAAAAGAGTGTGGGTCCTAGACTGGCCTGCCTGCAGTCCAGTCCTGTCACCCATTGAAAATGTGTGGCGCATTATGAAGCGCAAAATAGGACAATCGAGACCCTGGACTGATGAGCAACGGGAGTCGTACATCAAGCAAGAATGGGAGAGAATTCCACCTACAAAGCTTCAACAATTACCGTCCGCCGTTCCCAAACGCTTATTGAGTGTTGTTAAAAGGAAAGGTGATGTAACACAGTGGTGACATGCCCCTGTCCCAGCTTTTTTGGATAGGGTTGCAGGCATCACATTCAGAATGAGCGAATCGAGAATCACACTGACCCAAACCCACCCCCATAACATTATGTATAACATACACATCATGCGAACAATATATTGTTCTTTTTAATATTTTAAATCCTGCACTACCCTTGAACATGTTGCACATTTCTGCTCCACACTATTTTTTTTTATTTTATTTGCACAGCTCTCCACTTTGAATATAATAATTGTAATATTTTATTTTTACGGTACTCAGTTTCTCAAATATGTATGTTTTGTGTAAATATTGTCCTTACTTTTTATTTATTACAACAGTCTTAAATCGTTTTTTTAAAAGATTTTATGAGAGTACTATTTGTTGCTACGTATTCCTCTTTCTGTGTCTTTGTATGCACCTTGATACCAAAGCAAAGTCCTCTTACCCTATGTGTAAACCTACTTGGTAATAAAACGGATACAAATAGTTTTTTTTACCTGAAGTGCAGGCTCCACCTGGACGCTTGGCCCCGCTCTGCTGGAAGAAGGTGTCTTTGCTTTGAGAGCCCTCCTGCCCCACCTCCACCACCTGCACCTGCTGCAGGGTGGCGCTCCACTTCATGGTGTACTTGGGCCCCACTGGGACCAAGCTGCTGATATCTGGGGGCCCCCTGGTGGAGATAAATACAAATTAGGGAGTTTAGAAAGAAAAACAACTTGAGGGAATTTCCCCTCCCGATCCCGCGACGAGAAATGTCAGGAAGAGGAATCTGGAGTGAGAATCAGAATCAGTGCGATCAACCCATGTTCCCTGCCAAAACTGTACCCCCGGCTGTGAGGAGGAGTTCATTGCTATTCATGTATTCCAGTAATCACGCAGACAATCAACATTGTGATCGGTTTGTCAAGATCCTGGAGGGCAGACAAAGTCAACTTCGGGACACTTGAGTTGAATGAGACGTAGAGTGATAATTACTTTGAAGGCTGAACAAGAGGGCTTTAAGCGACATCCCAGACGGGAGCTTTTGCAAAAAAATATACAAAATCCCTTTTTCCTGTTTACTTCTTGCCCGAGAGAGTTGGAGAGAGATGTGATCAATGGTGCTGTCACAGAAGATAAATTGGAAGGAAACCCAAAAATGTTTTATGTCAGTAATCCAAGACTCCTGTAGCTGTAGTTAGGCATTCTACCATTTGTTTAAAGCTGATAAGGCTCCTGCGAGTGCAGATAGTGCTCGAATGCGCTAGCAGCTATTTCTCTCTCCTGTGCAAAAACCTAGGGTGTCACAATAGAGCCCTGCACCACCTAATAGCTATTTATCCTAACAGTGCAGTTTAGCAGACTCTCATTTCCTAACTTACACACAACTTCATGCTGGAGCTGCGCATTATGAACGCATTAGCAGAGCATCTTTGAACACATTCAGGGCATTTAGCTCGTCTTGTTCTACATGAGGGACTTACTTGACATTTATGTTGGCGCAGATGAGCACATCATCAAAGAGGAAGACCTTTCTCTCCTTCGACTTCAGGACTTGTCCCCGCTCGCCGTACACAGTCTCGATGAGCGTCTCACAAAGGACCAGTGACCCCTGCTCAGAGTTCAGTTGCTAAAAAGGGACACAGCAATCAGATCAGAGTCGGAGGAGACAGCGCCACAAAGAGCCAGTCCTCCAGAGTTCAGCGTGTGGAGGACACCGAGTCAGCCTTGGAGGAAGCGACGTCTCATCAGGGATTAGTGACAATTTCATGCCGTTGAAGGTCATTTTAACACACACACACACACACACAGACACACACACACACACACACATAAGTAGTGTCAGCAAACGTAGTTGAAGCAAGGATGCAGTATCTTTGAGCTGCACACATGTGGTGAAAGGGACCTAAATACATACTTTAAGGATGCAACAGAAGCTGCCAGACTTTTTTTTTGTTCTAAATACTTTTAACACGTGCTTTAGATCATTCTGTCTTTTTCTCTGCACCACGCTACCCCCTATACTACCACCACAGTCCAACCTGGCTTAGCGTTTGAGCACGGGGACACACAATCCTTTCCACCACAATGAGGAAACTACACATGGATAGAAATGCATGAACAGTTTGCTGCATGCACACCTTAACACTCACTCACACACACTTAATGGATGCGTAACAGACGCAGTTTATGCTACAGTATGTTGGCACACGCTGTGCTTTCCACTCATCCATATGTTTGGCAAAGAGAAATAGCAACAGAAAGCTTTTTTTTATCACTTTGGTCCAGCTTATTTTATGACTGGCTAAATCAATACTGTTATGCATACTGCTTCAATCTAAGGCAGGCTCATCAAAGACTATACTGAAAGCAGCGGGTTATGTCCAAATATGGAGTTCACATCCTGATACTTTGATACTTCTTAGCAAATAATGATTCTTTCTGCTGTGTCCGATCCACAACCTGCAGTGCAGTAACTCATGTGACCACATTTTAAAGAGGGAGGATGTCCTATCCGCAGGCAATCTGTAGCTGCGACTCGGATTGCACACATAATGAGTCATTAGTCCGAGTACGAGTGCCGTTTGATGGCCACAAAGCGAACAGCCCCCTGAAGAGGTGGGCTGCAATAAGAATACACCCTTAAAGTCTTCAGGCGTCAATAGGCACAGAGGGCATTGCACATGTGTGTGTGTGTGGGAGTGTGTGTGAAACCAATCCTCACTCACACTGTTATCTGTCCTATTCTGCCAACTTAGATACTTTGAGACAAAGAATGAATATTTCATGGGATGGTTATGGGTGCAATAGAGGAGACCGTTTGCTATTGGAATTCTGCTGTGTCACCGCAGCAAATGGAATTCTGTGTGGAGTGGAGATTTGGCCGAATCAGCTCATCTCGGAGTCCTGGAAAGCAACGGCTGATAGAGAGAAATAAAGAGGGGAAAAGGTTTGAGAGAGGGAGAGGAAGATGTGGTAACGCTGGAGAACGAGAGAAGAAGAGCGTATAAGGGAGAAAGTGAGCAAAGGGAGTGCAAGAGAGGGGAAAGTGGAGAGAGGAGGAAAGAGCGACAGGGTGAAAGAGATAGCTCTCTTACAGTTTCCAATTAAATGTCTCATTTACCCCTTAATTCTTCTTATTCAGAGCAGCATTTGTTCAGATTTGCAGCGGCAGGAATGTAATTTCAGTGTGGTAATGGAGAAGCAACGCCTCCGCCATTGCAGTTGGTACTGTTTAGGAATGATAATGGGCATCATTTCTGGGAGATAATTTCTCTAAATAAAAATGCCACACTAGATTAATGTGCGGGAAAGTGATATAAGCGATTGCTATATACTAGTAAAATGTATAGGTGTTTGGCTCACGGTGATAACAACCAGAGGGCTCAGACTCACAGTCCATTTGATTGGGGCATATGTGCGAGTGTGTACGTGCACAAGGGAGTGTGTGTCCAGTCACCTTACTGAGCAGGCGATCACTGACGCTGCGGGCTAGTTGTTGAGTCTCTGCAATCTGGTCGGCGACTCGTTTCTGTTCATTCAGCTTCTCCGCCAGCATCTCCAGCTCTGTGAGAGCGAGCTGCAGGGGCAGGCGGTCCACGTGGCCCTTCGGAGTGTTCTTCAGCATGTCCTGGGAAAAGGTCACAGGGAAAGTTTTAAGTTAAGCCACTGCAAGTTAAAAATAAAAATCTGTCTCTGTGTTTGATTTAATAATATCTTCAGTGTACTGCAATATACTGAACTGTGACAAAATAATGTGTTCAAGTAAAAAGTGTTTTCATTGCCTTGCAAGTAGTAACTAAGTACATTTACTTAAGTTATAATATAAACTATACTTGTACTTCACTTGAGTATTTCTATCTTATGCTACTTTGTACTTCTATTCCACTACAATTCAGAGGTAAATCGTGTACTTTTACTCCACCACATATATATCTATATATATATATTGTACGTTTAGTTACTTTAGAGATTTGGATTAATGATTTGAAATATAAACAACTTTAGTAACACCTGGAGTAAATTGCCTGCAGTTTACAAAGTCATTAAAACTAGCTGCACCAGCTTTGATAACACTTCAATGCATCAATAATTATAATCAGAACATATCATATATATTATTCTGGAATGGACCAATCTGCATAATGAATACTTTTACTTGTACTTTAAGTATATTTTGACGCTAATACTTTTGTAATTTTACTTGAGTATCATTTTGAATGCAATACTTTTACTTTTAACAGATAATTCCTACACTCTGGTACTTCTACTCAAGTACAAGATCTGAATACTTCTCCCACCTCTGATGCCGTGAAAAATTGAATTGAGGAAATGTTTTGACTTTTTTGGAAGTTTGCAAAGTCAACCCACTTTGATTAGAATGTTCAATATCTTTCCAAACTTTGCCAAAGTCAAATACTCAGAGGATCTAACTGTGTGCAACACACTTTCTTTCCAGTGTTTCTGTTGTCTGTGTAAAGCTCATTGTATTGCAACTTCTACCCTTTTGTGAGCAGTGTTGGCTAAAACAAACTAAGTCTAAACGCAGTCTTTGTGGCTCGCATGTCTATATTTGTGCTGTATCTACGACCCGGTGAAAGCCTGCTGTTGTCTTGATATGCATCTCAGACGCACCTCAGTGCTTTAAGCGCTGGTTCCCTGTAATGTATGATTTAATATACACTTCCTATTTTGGAGTAGTGAATTTAGGGCTAGGAAGAAAACGCCTGATTCGCATTCATAACTTATCTTTTGAATTCATGGATAATCAATGCCTACTGAGGGATGAAATGAGCTTCTGCAGATCCAGCGAGTGAAGCTCAAACCAAATCTTTGCTCAGAATGGAAAATGCAGGGGTCGGGATGTAAAGCCAGCAATATGAAAAACTGATGTGGCTAGCTACTTTTTTAGCCCTTGCTAACCCCAGTGTAAAAGTATGTGCAACTTCGTGAAATTTGGAAAAGTAAAAATGTGTCACCTCGCAGCTTTATTAGTGTATCAGCTGCTGAATCTTTATTCCGCCTCATTTCTCATGTTGAGGGTGCTTGTTAATTAAAGTGGCCCTATTCTGCTCATTTTCAGGTTTATATTTGTATTTTTAACGTCTACTGGGGCATGTTTACTTGCTGTAATGTTCAAAAAGGTATTTATTTCTCTCATGCTGCCTTTGCTGCAGCACCTCCTTTCACCCTTTGTCTGAAACCAGAGCCCAGATTGGTTAGCTGTCCGGCTCTGTTGTGATTGTCCAAAAATGTCTCGACCCTTAGCAAATCCCGTAAACTCTGTTGGAGCGCTAGCTAATAGAAGCGTGAGTGCTACACAGTGATGTTACTTTGTTACAGAAGTAAACAAAGGAGTCCAATGGAGGTGTTTCAGGCAGGCCCCCCCCTGCCTGAAACACTGTGTGGGAGAGGAACTCCCTCTGGAGGGAACTTTGGGATTTTAGCCTTTGCAGACCATTTACATGCACAAAAACCTGAATATCACACTACAGGAAAGGGAAAACCCCAAAAAGAAAAATAATAACATTAAAACAAATGAAAAAGCCCTTTAATAACCAAACATTCGTTTACCTGCAGTAGCAGTATGAACTGAGGGAAGCGCTGAATGGGTTTAACCATGAGTCCATACAGAGTGATCCGGTCAACACTGCATGCCTGCTTCTTCTGATGACAAAAAGAGAAAGAAGAAACATGCAGTTGGAAAAATATTCAAGCACAGAAAGGCTATTAAGAGGAAACTACGCCATTCTTACTTTAAGAGGAGCTTGTGTGAGTCCTCTATAGACCTTTTGTAGGCGTCTGCGTGGGTGAATAAGGTATGAAAATCACGGTCTGTTATTCATATGAGGGCATGAAAGAGGGGATTTTTTGAGTGTGTTATGTCTAAAGTATTATCGTAGGCGTAGGTCAGGCCAAGATCATTTCGGGGCAGCGTCAAGTCTGTACAACAATGTTATCATCAGTGGGAAAAAGGCAAATAAGAGGGCACATTTAATAGATGGTGCGCTTGTTAAGGTTAGATAAGATCAGCTGTAAGACTGAACAAATAGGAATAACTCTTAGTGAAACTCTAGAGATCTGAGAACATCTGTGAAACAGAGCACTATATTACATACAAACTTGTGTATACTTGAAGCATACTAATTGTTCTTTAGGGAACTAGTTTTTGCCCATTTGAGTTGATGCATGTAGAATATAAATATATATATTTGTATATGAGAAGTTGATAAGTAGGGAAAACATACTGACTAAGAATGTGGTGATTGTAATATCCTGATAGATTTAAAACATATTTTGCTCATTTTCAGGTGCTTATTTGTATGTTGTGCCTCTACTGGGACATGTCTCCATGCTTTCATGTTCAAAAAGGTCTATACTGTATTTTTCTCATACTGTCTGTGCTGCAGCACCTCTTTTCACCCTCTGTCTGAAACCAGAGCCCAGTCTGCTCTGATTGGTTAGCTGGCCGGCTCTGTTGTGATTGGTCAACCGCTTAGAGATTTGTCTGAAATGTCCCTCCCCTTAACCACGTACATTGTGTTTGAGCGCTAGCGTGAGTGTTACATAGTGATGTAACTATGTTACTGAAGTAAACAAAGGACTCTAATGGGATCCAACTTTGGGATCTTAGCCTTAGCAGATGCACACAACCTAACCCACTTCAAGAAAAGGAAAACCCCAAAAAGTATAATAGAGCCTCTTTAAGTCTTTTCTTTATATTTGACTATTGTATTCAACCATCAAAGGCTGTATATTACTAACTACGTGAAATTAATGATGAATACCAGCCAAGCACAGGAACTTCCGCCACATACTGCGTTTTTGTTCTGGACATTAAAAGAGATTCAGTGGTTACAATTGCATTTAATAACCTTAGCACTAGAAGCATGTGGAGCCCTTTGACAGGCTCTAAAGGCTCAACCACTTATTGAGTACTCAAACTGACATGTACATTACCTTGTAGGGTGAAATTACATTCCCCATTGTACTGGCGCTATAATAGTTTTTGTGCAGACCGACTCTTTTCACATGTGTTGAACCTTTTGAGTTATGACACTTTTTGCATAATATGGCATTCATTACTCTATGATATTCCAGGTCATATAATCATGCATATTTTTTAGATGACCTACTGTGAGCAGATATGCTTATATGTATTTAAATGATTACTGTTCTACATTGTTGGATTTCTGTATGGTTTAATATGCTATTTCCACAAAAAAAACAAAAAAGACTTCTGCAGGTGTATACACTTTTTAATTCCTCCAATCTAAGTTGAAATTAACTAGAATGGTTTACAGCCCAGTATTGTGTGAATATGTGTTCCTGACAAAATGCCAGTGGAGATGAAAGCCAGGCTGTCTGTTTGTTTGTCAAAGTATCAGTGTGTTACCCGCCAAGTAGCGGACACTACAAAGATTTGTTCAAAAATATTAGTTTGGTCATTTTTGCATATCACTACCTTATAAGGAGTAAATGTGTCTAACTAGTAAACCTTTGATTCAGAAACTTGTAAACTCACAGCATGCAGAAATGAGATGCTCCACCTGTGAATATCTTGACTGACTTTAAACAAATTGGACACAGGCAGGTGAAAACACAACAGGACCACCAGATACATTCCCAATGGTGGAAAAATCCTTCTAAAATGATTTGCATTCCAAATGCCAGTGAGATAGATAAAAGGCAGATAGCCGGTTTATTCTGAACAACTTTTAAGTTGTTGATTAGCCCGTCTTTGGTTGCCAAGTCAGCCATTGGGTTTATTTGGCTGATACAGTATGATAGAAGAGTACTTTTTAATTGACAGTGAAATATTTTACTTTACTTGAGATGTGCCCTAAGTGGAAACCCTTTGGTAGCTATAGTGCAACCAGCTATCAAGCAAGATATCTTATACACAATCGCGAAAAATCACCCTAACCCTATTAAATCACAGGTGAGGACAGGAAGGCAGTGGTCTCACAGATGTAATTCTAGTCTTAAGATCCAATGCTCAGCAACTGGACAGAAGCATAACCATACCAGATATTGACATGGCACCTGACAGGGTCAAGGTGTCAATGGAGATGGGGTCTTTCCTGCTTCGTGCACTGAAAATGGTTGAGTGGTCTCAGTTAGAGAGGCAGTTGAGGCTGAGAGGGGTTTTAAGGAGAACCTCTCTATATCTCTTTTGAAGGGCTGTCGTGTTCAGTGAAACCTGTCTAACACGCACAGTATAAAACCATAACACTGCCTGGGATCATATCAATGCATCAGTTGTTCACTTGACTGATCTCTCAGGACATGAGCTGAATTCTATAAGTTGATAGAGAAGTCTAGACGGTTATAATCACCAGTAGGAAACACCAAAGTGATTTTTTTTCCACCATTAATGTCTTGACAATTACAGTATGAATGATATATTCCCCAATGCTACGAAGGTAGTGGCAAGCAGAACCAGGGGGTCCTTTCTCTAATGAATCAGGAACAAGCTGTCAAGATTTTTCTCCGAAGAACGCAAAGAATCATGGGTTATTTGATGTAACCAGCCAGAAGGCCCCCTGACAGCTTGGGGTTAGGGTAGGGAAGTGGATTGGGCAAAGGCGGCATTGACAACCCGCCACAAGGTTCCTCGCATGAGAGCTGAGGAAACTCTGAAGAATATGAGGTCTTCAGGGGTTTCATAGGTTCCTATAGTCAGAAACAGAGACTGGCTGGTTGAAAATCACTCACGCTAATTGGCTCAGGTAGAGTCTTTTCATTTTGGATAAATGGAAACGTACAATGAACTGCTTTTACATAGCACTTTATATCCACTTGCTCAAGGAAGCTAACATTCACACACATTCCCATTGGGAGCAACTTGGGGTTAAGTATCTTGCCCAAGGATACATCGACTTGTTGACTGCATTGGCTGGGATCAAACACACAACCTGTTTGAAAGACGACCGCACCACCACACAGCCACAGTCACCGAAAAATATATCTGATGATTACATGCATCAGAGTGGACTTGTTATAAGTTTTATAACATGGTTGGTTATAATATAGACAGGAGAAAGACGAGAGGTGTGCAGTAAAATTACTGTTTTCCACTGCAGCTGCTTGTTAATTGCCTGCGAGTCATGCTGCTGCCAGTGGGTCTGTACAGGCTGACGGTTTTTAGATTATTATTAATATTATCTGGTCAATTAGGGCGCTCTGTGAACTTCAGGTTTTAATCAGATTATTTTCCGGTCCACATTTTTGGACAAATGAATAACGCTCCGGTAGATTTCTTCAGAGACTCATGCCCCCACACCTCATCCTCTAATGTCATTTGGAGAGTAGGCTGAAGTTTGCTTCATTAGTAATGAAACAAGAACGTTTTTTCATGTAACCACTTTCTGAGGTAAGCAAGCTGCAGTCCAAACAGGCAAAGAGCCTCCTGATCCTGACTGTGGTATGTTCGGCAGGTGGAGCAGCACCAAAAAGCACAAGGTAGAAAAGTGGTTTCCTTTAACCACAGGTCATTTCAATGTCATGTTTTTCTTACGGTTACTGAATGAAAGTGGATTCTAGTACCATTGCAACAGATTAGAGCTGACTGGCTGAGCAGGTAGCTGCACATTTCAGGAAGCTGCTCTGCAGCGTAGAGTGGTCAAGCTTTAAGATCCCATTAGAGAGTGAAACCTGTGTGAAATAGAGCATGCTGTGACTTTTTTTCGTCAATACAGAAAACGGATTGGATTTGTTAGTGACTATTTATACTATATTTACCGAGTCTTGTAACTCTTACTGGGCAGAGTATAATTCAATGGACATACATCTTGCTGTGATATATGAATCAGAAAATCTACGGCTCGGTCACCTACCTTACTGAACACACATGCATATTTGTTGCCAGGCAACCTTATCAGCATAGCAGAAAGCATCAGCTGGTATGCTGGAACTGATGGAACTGCCACTTGTGCTAATGTTGGTTGACACCTACTTTTGATGTGAAGAAAAAGGGAAATGGACAAGACTGGGTGTGTCATTGGACCCGTCAAACAGACCCTTCCCTTCACAGCTGATGTGAACTAGATTAGACCCATGACACTTCCAGCCAGTTTATTAATAAGTCCTGTCATCGTAGCAACAGCCGCCTCCACACTGCCTCTCACCACTGAACTGGATAATGCTACACTACACTGTTTGTAAAAACACGACTAATACCACTTTTGGTCTCATGATTTTCAGGCTGAAAAACGTGTTTGCTACAATTGTTAGTACATAATCAAACTCTATGCCCACTTCATTATCCTATTATTTTATAGAAGAACATTGTTAATGAGAATTTCTTATGTAGTAGTGGTTTTGAAGACAATTACCTTTTGAGATTGTTTGAATTGTCTGATTTGCAGTTTTTTTTTTATTGTTTATCAATGTACCAAAAAAGAAAATGTATGTGCTTGAACAATTGTAGAATTGATCCAGAGGATGAGATTTCTTAACGTATTCCTCTTTTCTTTCTAAAGATGTACACCAAACTCACTAGATGCAGTTCTCATATAACATTGTATTTCTTTTAAGCACTTAAAGTAATGGTCCCTATACCTGTCAATTTCCCCTGCGTGTTCATGGCAGCGTGCATGCACTCAGTGCCTCCGCAATGTTTTAAAAGCAAGGTAATGAAGTCTGTGATTGATTCAGTGCGTGTCTAGCCAAGTTATTATTTTGTTCATCTTCACACTGACAGTTAGATCTCCAACAGGCAGCAGGAGGGACATGGAAACCTTTTAAAAGAAAGGAGGCACACGTGTGGTCAGGATGTAACATGCAGGGCTGTAAGCTGTGGGATCTGCTTCTGTAAATCAGCATTACTGCTCGATGATACAGGTCACACTCATGCATGAAAGCGAGCGCACAGGGAATTGTTCAACTCAGCACATTTAAATAATTCCTTGGCACTCTCTGTGAAGCGAGGCACTATTTTGCCTTGTTCATGATCCCTAATTAATACAGTATCTGAAAAACGTAAAAGTATAACCCATCATGATTGTCTGGTTCTGGAAAGTCGTCAAATTGCATTTCACATAACTACTAAATGAACTAAAGGGGTTGCAATTTTCTTCTTTTTGTTAACCAGCCTCAATGGAATTCATTCATTTGAAGATTTCTCCATCTTTTATTATGAAACTCATGATAGCTTTTGAAGATATACTTTTTTTTTTTAAATGTGCAAAGAGCAGCCTACAAATACATACCAATAAGTATCATATTCTGAGAGTAATCCTCTTATAATAGCTGGAATGTGGACAATTTTGGATATTTCATTGTAATATCTACCACAGTCGGTTATACAGTGCTTCAGACAAATTGCTGCTGTAATTGACATACTATGAGCACAAACTATTTTGTGTGAAAAAACATATTATTACACATACCTAGTAGTGTATATTATTGAAACCTTTAGCTATGGGGCTTTGCTAGTTTCAATATCTGCACAATACGGTGGCAGACAGGTGTAAACATGCTACACTGGCCAAAAACACTCCCATTAGGAAAAACGCACTGCAACTTAAGAAACCATGCGAATATAAAAACACAAATGCAAAACACATGCAAATGAAGAAACCGCATTTAGAAAACATTCACCAACTTCACAAAACGCTGCAAACAAAAATAAAAAAGGCTGCACAATGCTGAAAACACAACTGAAACAGGGACACTAAAAAGTGATGCCCACAGCTTGTTGGCAGGCTGTCACCGTTGGCATGCGTTATAATTGTGAGTGATTTGTCAGTATATTTGAAATGACTAGGTTGGCTACGCTAGCTAGCTAGCTTACAGCAGATCTGCAATAATATCGGAAGGAATCATGTAATCACATTCTAAAATAAGCCAATAAAACATACATTTAAGGTTAGTTTCCAGTGACAGTTGACAACTTTAAAATCCCTTTTCATCAGCTTGCGCTCAGGTCCTAGCTGTATGCATCACTTTTAAATGTCTTGGTTTGCGTTATGTTTTGAGCTACTTGCAGAGTTTTGTATTTGTCGTTTGGTTTATACACCGCTTTTAGTAAACGTTGCGCATGTTTTGTCAAGTTGGTGAAGATGTTTCATTTTATTTGCATGTGTTTTGGCACATTTGTGTTTAAATATTTGCATCGTTTTTGAAACTGCAGCACGAAAATGTATTTGGTCCGTGTAGCGCGTTTGGCACATGTTGGCGACCATAGATCAATACTACAACAAATAACAAATAGAGGAGCTAAAAACAAATTGGGTAACGTTAAGATTCAGAAAGCAAAAATAACAAAGAAAATCTCACCTTTAAGAATTCAAGAAAAGCCGGTTTGGACAAGCAGGCCTTTTTAATGAGAGCCATGGCGTTGGTGAAGTTGTTCACGTAATCACTGTATACGTCAAGCACCATGGACTTGGAAAACTGCGGAAACAAAACAACATGATTATCTGAATTATTAACAACAGCGCAACAATGAGAGGGTACTGCCATGTCTTATTTTGTCATCCACAAACACAGTCATGTCATTTCTTTTGACATCTTGAATGTTTTGCTAACCATAATGTTTTCACCTGTAGGTAATTTCATTCTAAAGAGAGGCAAGAAAATAGCCCTTTAAGTATAGTACTTTTAACAACAAAAAATGCTTTGTTTACCATTCCAGTTACCACAACACCCTTCACGAACCATTTAAGAAGCTGGGCAAAGAGGAATGAGGTGACCGAGTGCGACGCTGTGTGTGTGTGGGGGTGTGTCGGATTTGCAGTAGACATTTATTCTCTCTCCTCAATTAAACTCACACCAGGCAGCCGATAGTGACAGTTTTAGGAGTGATGGGGGATTAGCACATCGCATGAAGGAATTAACCCTCTTTGCTCGCAGCCTCCTTCAGGATCATGCCTCTCGGGTATTACTACAACATATTACTTTGCAGGTACATACATTGCAACAATAAGCTCAATAAAGGGAGTTCCAGTACTTTCCATTTCCAGTGTGCTCTTATTTAATAATAGGGATATCAATGAAACAGCTCTATAATGTCCAGCAGAGAGAAAAAGGGTCCCTCTAATAGGCAAATAATGAGCAGACCTTATGGATGAGCACACTGCAGAGACTCTCTACAGAAAACTCACACTGAACACTATTATTGTAGTGCCAAAATGTTTAAACACATATCCCAGAGTGGTTTGGATGCAGTGGAGATATTCATCACATGTGTAATTGATTCTGCGTTTGGGAGTAAGCTAGCCCTGTTTGCTCAACCTTAAGCCTGCAGCTCATTACAACCGTGGGAGCAGATATTGTGTTATACAGAAAAAAATGAGTTTCTTTACCCAGCATGCATGTTATTGATTGCATGTTAAGACTGAAACAAAAACAATGTATACACACACGCTGTATAAGTCTCACTCCTAGTTCACAAATATGGAGAAACATACAAAAAACATGCACATGTAGGACACCTACCGAGGCAACAAATAAGTCCCCGATTTTCTCACAGCTGTCCCACTCGGCGACACGTGACGCCAGAGCAATCTGAAACATGGAGTGGCACTGTGTGATCTCCCTCATTCTGAAAAATATAGGCCGGATCTTTCTCGAGCTCAGGATGCGTGGATCGGCTTCCATCAACGGTCTCTGGTATTCCTGGTGAGATTGAGAGAGAAAATTGGTTGTTGATATGTGCATGTATGTGTTTGGTGGAGGGGCTTTAAGATAAATCAGCATCCCACCTTCCTTTACATCTCTTCCTATAGTAGTATAAATAGACCACTGATGGGTAGCAGAAAAAAATAATCCTGTGAATCAGGCGGAAATTAGGAAAGGTAGTCATGGTGTATTCAATCTAAAGGAGTCGCCTGCAAAACATTTGACGTGTGCAAACATGTTCACAACTCAAGGTGACTTGTAATCATAAAAGCCAAAATAATAATGGCAAAAGGAAGCTCCCAGCAGAGTGACAGATGCAAAAGCAACATGGTAAAAGAGGCACTGATTGATTCTTCAGTCAGCACGCATGGGAATATTAGCATGGCCTACAGAAATCAGCTGTTTGTGGACAAGATTCTCTATGGGAGGCAGAAAACATGGCTTGTTTGAAACATACCAAAGTATAGATAATAAGAACAAGCTAAATGTAAAAGATGAAAAATACTCTTTTAAAGCAATTGTGGTGGTAATTTTCATTGATGTTTTGCAAGTTTTATCTCCGCAAATCCATCAAAGCAAATGAATCATCGACAGAAGAATTAACATGAGATGTGCAATCTGTTTTACTGCAATAATACAAAGTATCAAGTCTAATTGTGCTTGTGGCCTTTCATCTTTTATATGTTATCAGTCTGGGGACACTACGTTTAGCATTCAGCTGGACTCCCTGAATAACAAGAGAGATTTCAAACGAGCTAAACCTCCATAGTATCACGCGCAATCATGTCACTCCACAACAAAGGTAGCTCATTACATTTCGACAGTGGAAGGCTTTACAGGACATAAGGAAACTGTTGATAGCTGCTGATTCCATTTCAGTAGGCTGCTCCTATTTTTCTGCGATGAGGAGATAACAACACCCCACTAAAAAGAGAGATATAGGCTGCATCCCATCCTGCCTTACAGTCTTTCTCTCTTAGCGTCATCTCCACGCCACAGAAATGAGGGCGGCTGTTTTTATCAGGACTACTTATGCTCTGTAATTTGATGGATATCACTGCTTCTCTTTCCGGTGTTATTCATAATGGCTAAATGGTGACGTTATTGCATGTGGCAGTGGAGTACAACAGGGACTAAGCAGCTCACCTGCACGATCCTCCGGAGAGACTCCAGGTAGCTGTGCTCGCTCTGGATGATGGAGCTCAGGATATGGCGTCTGACAACCTGCGCAGACAACAGACCAGTCAGGAAACGCAGCACTAAGAGGACATGATGGGGCGGCAGCGTGCACTGTGCTCACAGTTAGGCACGCCGCAGGTTGATGGATTGAACAATAATCATGTGTTTGTCACGGGAGGAAAAAGACTCAAAGAACAATAGGTCTGTTTGAACAAGGCCCCCATCGAAGATCTGATTCAAAGAGAGCTGCACAATTAGCTTTTTTTTTTAAAATAGCAATATGGTCTAGTCAGTGCAATATCAATATTGCAGTAAGCACAATAATTTGTAAATATAAAATGTGTGAAAATATAATACTGGAAGTATTTATTATTCGCGCTGCAACAGTTAAGTCCGTAGGTAGGGACTTGGCTTGGTAACTAAAGTGTTGCCGGTTCGAGTCCCAATTCATAAAAGGTGATTTTAATCATAATCCTATTATGGTGTTGTCGAGAAGTTCCAGGCCTACAAACGTTATTTTACAGAATCTTTTTTTTTTTTTTTAAATCCTTGTTTGGTACAGATCTTCCTGATAATTGTAATATATCTTTCATGACAAGTTAATGTTTAAGAAATGTCCATTCCCTCTAATATCGCAAATCATATGGCAGTTAAAAATAATTGCATTTATATTATTTTTTTTCCAAATCGTGCAGCCCTAGCATATAGATGTGTAGAAATTAGTGGTGTCAATCGATAAAAATGTTTCACTCCTGTGCAATTTCATGAAACTGGATAGCGTTACCACACCTAATGAGAACGGTGCAGTTACCATTTGTGGTCAACAGTCGCTTTCTCTGCAATTTAACTGCTATGCTATTCAAGGTAAAAATATGTGCTGGAAATACGGGAGGACACTGTGGTCCAGCTCGGTAATGTCATAATTTGCATTTTTGTTTTTACATGCTTTAAGGTTTTGCAAGCGTTAAGTGTGTGTTAAGTGGTAAAAATAGCACGTGACTGGCAAATAATTCTTAACATGTCAGCTTAGAGCCTGATCTTAAGGCTGTTGGGGACACAATGGGTTCACATAAATGCTTGATGTTAGAGATCCTGGGTTAAAATCATTTAGGAAAGAGCGCTTGTTAAATCGTGAGGTGCACCTGGTGGCTGGTGAGCCCCTCGGGCATTGGGCTCAGCTGTGGGGGAGGATGCTTAACGTCTGGCACGGCCACATCCAGGTATCCTGCATCATCTTCCTCCTCTGCACACATTCAGGAATAAAGGACAAAAATACAGAAAGGTAAAAAATAAGAAAAAAAGAGTGCATGTGTGTGTGAGAAAAAATAAACCAGACAGGGAAAAACAGAAAGGCACCCTCCAGATCTCACTGCAGCTAGAGACACATTGCGACACACCAAGTTTATTACCTCGAAAATATGAAGAGGTTTCTATACTTTCTGAGAAAGAGACAGAGCGAGAGAGACAGAGGTGTTGAGGAAGAGGAAGAGGCAGAGTGAGAGAGAGAGAGAGAAGCCTTCGGAAAAAAGGAAATAACTTTCAAAACAATACTGTATCACTGTTTGAGTAAGAGAGGCACACAGAAGTGTGTCTGCAAAAACACCATCCAACACATTCTCATTTCCGCACTGGCACAAAGCAATTCGGCAGTCAAAAAATCCCACTTCACCCGTAACATAAAGACACAGATACCAAAAGCTTCCTTCCACCGTTCCAATTAAAGTCTTTGGAATGATAACAGAGGGATTGGTGGGGAAATAAATATAATGCTGTGCAGATTCCCCCCCCCCCTATCAACACCTAAAAATAGCAGCACTGGCCTCTTTACCTCTTTGTGATGGCTCTGAGATTTGTTTGAGGCGTAGGTCTGGTATCTATGGTTTGTAGAGCTGCTTGATACTCCATTAATGGATGGTAATCTCTGACTATTGTTAGGCAAGGGCTCCTATAAAAGGAACCTATAGTGTACCGCATGAATTGCCTCATCCTTTTCATTCTCGCACTTCAAAAACAATACTCGACCACATCGCTTGTCTTAAAACTGAGAAAGCCTATCTGTTTTATGTATTACAGTTATAATCAGTGAGATCTTTTCTCTTCACGGTTCTTTCATTTCACCCTGAGGGGATTTGCATAAAGAAAAAGTAAGACTTTCTACTCCATCAGCCTTGAACGCTACTTTGGCTTGCCTGGCATTGCACACAAGCAACTGCCTATAATTGAAAGTGTAAGGAGTTAAAAACCAAGACTTCATAAGCAATCCCCATTATCCAGTATAGTATAACTCTTTCATCCACAAAAAATCCAGCTGACCAACGTTAACAAAGTGGTCAGACTTCACCCGCATTACCCGGTTGATCCTTTCTCTGCAGGAAGTTCACTTTTCGCATGACGGCTATCTTGGTCTTTTCAAGCCCGTCCTTCGTTCCGCTTCTGGCCGCCTTCATGAGTTGCTGAACCTGGTAGGAAGGAGCAGAGAGAGACAACGGAGGAGCTTTAGAGCGCGAGGAGAGTGCCATGCTGTGCAGACTTGATAACCTACAGTGCTCCTCTGCAGAGAGATGGAGGGAGTGGCGCTCAGTCAGTGGGCTCATCGTGAATCTCACCATCTGCGACTCCCTGCGGGGCGCCGCGCAGCCCTCTAATCAGGGAGACTATGAGCGCGTCATCTACAGATTATCCTAACAGAGTGAGCTCTAGTTTGGCTCAGTGTGGGAGAATCCGGCTGACCAAAAACTCCACCCTGAGCATCCCAGAGGCCCTGCAACCAGACTCCAGCGACACAAGAATACACGCAGGGTGGTTTTTAAATGATGCTACTTCAGGAAAGTGGGTCATTAATTGGGTGCGAGTTGCACTGGCGTTTATGGAAGTAAATACGCGGAATATTGTTTAATAATTCATGTGTCCCATAAATGCATCTTGATGTTAAACCAGGCAGGGGAAGGAGAGAGGGATCAACAGAAGAGTCTCAAAGCAAAGTCACAGTCCAAAGGGAAGCTGGGGAGAGGATGGTGCAGAGAGTCAGTTAAGCCTTTGAGCCAGCTGAGCATACAACACAGCATATTTCAGCTCTGGGTGATCATCAATCCTGTTGACAAACATCTAGCAGAGAGATTTGAGCTCTGCGGATAAAATAGCGTGATATAGCTGTGTTCACTTGCTGCTGGAAATATACCTTGATGTCATAGTTGTGCTTGCCAGAGAGTCTCATGGCCAGCTCTCGTTTGGTCCTGGCACAGCGTTCCCTCAGCCGACTCACGTCAGGAGAGAGCTACAGGTGTTGGACAGGGACAGGCGGGGCAAGGAGAGAGGGGGGAGGTCGCGTTTAGCCATGAAAGGTGTAGAGAGGAGGAAAAGAGTAGGGGAGAGGAAAAAGAAAAAAGGAAACGGAGGCAAAGTGATCAAGGCAAAATAAGCTACGCAACATTGGGAATTAATCACAAGCATAGAGAGTGAAGGCTTGGAGCATGGCTATGATCAAAGGGGTTATGATGTATGATACTTATAGAATGGTGCAGAGATGAGTTTGACTACCCGGAAATAAGTTAGCATTTTAGCACTTAGCTCGTCTTGAAGTCAGTGGTTTTTGGTGAGACGTCCTAACGTTTGTTGTACCCCACTCGTTAATGCCCTAACCTTTTATGTGTCATAAAAACAGCAGTTGCTAACAATATAAGGGGCTTTTTTATGCTCTATTTTAGGTTTCATAATTGTATTTTGTGCCTCTAGTCTACTGTGACATGAGGTCTTTGTTTATCTCATACTGCCTGTACTGCAGCACCTCTTTTCAACCTCTGTCTGAAACCAGAGCCCAGTCTGATCTGATTAGTTAGCTGGCTGGCTGTTGGGATTGGTGTACGACTTAGAGATGTCCCGCCCCTTTGCCTATCACGTACAATGTGTTTGAGCACTAGCCAATAGAAGCGCAAGTGTTACATAGTGATGTCACTATGTTAAGGAAGGTGTACCCTCAGGAAGTTACTTTGGCAATTTAGATTTACATGTACAAAAACCTATACAACACTACAGGACAGGGTAAACCCCAAAAAGCATAAAAGGGCCCCTTTAAGTGGTGATGTGAAGTAATGAGACTCTGGTGAAGTTTGTTATAGCCTTACGTTAGCTATTAACATCTGGCTATTGCATTTATGCTTCAAAAATGATCAAAGTGGTGAAATATGCAAGTAACATAATTGTTTCTTAGCTTATGTTCAGCAATATTCCAAAACCAATAGAAAATTCCTGTTGATCTTTGTAGAGGGAGCCTTGTGATGCTAGTTTCTGGGTTAGCCTTCACATTCTGTCATCACTGCACCACTCTATGGACACTGGTTTGTAGAAGGGTGGAGGGTGGAGGGTGAGGGTGAGGGGAGCAGGCAGTTATTAAAGAAGCAAACTCTGTCCCAGCTCTTCCAAGCTGCTCAAATTAAGCAGTAAACTGAACAAGGGAACTTCAGGTACACTTGGTGAAAAATGAATCAGGCGAGTAATTAAAAACGATGTGTTTTGGGTTGAATGATTTGCTAGCTAGAAAAGTGTTGTTGGCCCCGTAATAGTCAAGGTTCCTTCATTAACTGTTCAAACGGTGCAGCTGAATCCTTTCTTGTGTTCAGTGGTCTGGGACAAGCAATCTGAAAGAAACGTGGTGGGTTTTTTGTAATTACCTGAGCAGCTCATTTCAGTCCAATACATCGACTTCATTCTCTTTGGTCTCCCTTGTTTCTCAAAGCACTGATTTTCTTGCCTTAAAATAGAATCGTATTCATACTGTATGCAAACACCTACAAATTTAAAAAGATGTATAGGCGAGTACACATCTATACTGTACATTAATAATGTCGAGAAAAATATGTTTTATTGCTATGGCTCCACATGTTCCCTATGTCTGCAGAGATGCATGCACGGTAAAGGCTGGCGAAGCATAAAGTGAATGCTGCACAGTGTGAATGTGCACACAGTGCCATCATGTGGAAGGCTGACACTGTGGAGCCGTGCTGCACGACGCTGATGAACAGCATCCTTGGCAGAAAAGAAGGCGAGGAGATCTGAGGCTCTTCAAACTGAAATGCTTCTTGTTTACTTTCATCCGGCAATGAAAGTTTAAGGCCTAGACGGACTAAAATACATTTTTCATGTTCTTTATAGTCTCCTTTATTCCTTTATAGTTCTCTACATTAATAAAGAGGACTGTGCCAGAGGAGCAGGAAATGAAATATTCTCCTTGATTATTTCATGCTGGAAACCCCACCAACAACAACCTTGGCCGGCCACAACACACACTAAAAGGTTGACTTTAAATAAATGGATTATGTCAACAGATTTCACATAACTGTATTAGGTTAGTTGAAAGCAATAACATGAAGTTGAACGTAATATTTTGTTTTAATATTACTGCTTTCAACTGAAATCTGTTGACATATTACATTTCATTCAAATCAACGTTTCAGTTTGTTCAGTGCATGATGCCATATAAGATAAACCAAGATGATAATGAGATGAATACACATGCATCCACAAACTCACTAATACTACCTTGCTTCGTGTTGGTAATTTGGTCTCGTTATCAGACTGCTCATCATAGCTTTCAAACTCACTGGAGCTCCATCCGTTGTCTCTATCCAGAGGACGGCTGTCTCTCTGAACATCTTCGTAGATCATATCTGCCAAAACACACACAATATTACACCTCAGAAGCTCGGCATCAGAAAGGACAATCATCCTAAGCAAACACAAAGTGTGTCGCAGCTACTCACCTTCATCAGGAGAGAGGGGGCCTTCACTTGGAACATCATCATAGATCACCTCGGGAGCCTCTGGCTCAGCTTCAGCCGCGAGTAGAGCTGGCAAAGAAAAGCCAGTAGCATCAAAGTAAACACTGTTTGTTTTTTTTGAAATATAGAAAGAGTGGTGCCTTCTTTATCTTGTATCTCCCTTTCTGTCGGATAGTCACACCTCCTGTTGTGAGGGCTTTTACATTTCTCGCCAAAGAAAAACACACACAAAGACACACAGCTCCAGACTGAATTGCCTGAATCCTTTTTGGCGAAACAGAGCAGATATATAAGACGCCATCTTATGCCTCTGGTTAGGAATTGTACACAGCCTTTTGAATATTTGCATACTTATTGTATCATTTGCATGTAAAGGTCTTCTTCCTCAGGGAGATGTGCGTGTGCATTGTGCCGTAATGGCTTTGTCCATGTGACGCAACATGATTGTATCCAGCTTGTTTGAGCTATTGACCCCTTCTATCTCCCCGCTCGGCAGGATTTGTCGTTAACTGCTTTGAGACTGTTTCAGCCTAATTTAGCTCAGTGAGCTTTATTGATTTGGTTTTAAACTGTGATCTGTCTTTTACACTTTCTCCTAAGCCCTGAACAGCAACAATCACTGTTTTCAATTAATCAGATTGGAGATGTGTATTCTGTCGTGGATTATTCAGCAGAGATCAGTCTTAAAACTGGAAATAACCTTGGATACAATCTAGGAGATGAACAAGTGTGTCTCTACAAAAGAGGATTAGCTATACAAATGTTCTTTATATATCGCACACTTTCCTACGCTTGTGCATTCAGAAAGGATTCAGAATGGAGGAGAGAACAACTGGATTTCAGCCTGACTATCAGCAGATCTGCTCAGTGGGTCTCACGGGAACATTATTCCAAATGTTTTCAACCAAGTTTCCTGTTTGCCTACTTTTACTCAACTTTGCTGTACAGCGACACAATGACACTCCAATAAAGTCATTAACAGGTCGCCATGACACTGCAGGCAATTTAAAAATACACTGCCATTAAGTGGCAAATGTGAAAGAAAAGATCAAGGCAAAGCAATCAATGTCAGATAATCACTTCAAAATGTGCCGTGACCACAATCAAGGAGTGAAGGGACATTTTTGCTTTGACAAACAGGAAATACTTCATTATTTATAATGGTGCATATAAAGTAGATTCAGTCAAACTAAAACACAGTTTTTCTACACAGACAGTTTTGACCTCCATTGAATAATCTTCAAAATAATTAATGGAGTTTTAGTGTTAGAAAACTAAAAGGAAAAAAGTAAGTAAAAGTTAAACGAATGAAAAAATGAAGGAGTGTTCAAAATATGTAGCTCTAGTGATGCATGTATAACCTTATCATTCAGAATCAAATCTGAATTAGAATGTTATTTATTCTAGGGTTGAACTTGGATTTTGTGACTGTAAAGATAAGTAAAAGATAAATACAAAATACAAATAATTATTTATATAAAATAGGTGAAGTTAAAGTAAAAATGTGAACAATAATGTAAAAACAATAAATAGGTAAAAATAGTCTATATTAACAGTGAGCACAATCAAGGAGTGAAGGGACCTTTTAGCTTCAACAAACAGGAAGTACTTAAGTATTCATAATGATCCATATAAAGAAGATTCAGAACACAGATCTTCTACACAATTAACAGTTTTGACCTCCATAGAATTTCCAAAATATTTCTTGGAGTTTGGGGTTAGAAAACTATAACGGAGCGTCCACACAGCAGCGTTAAAAAAATCTTGGAGGTGGGCGTATCTGAAGCTTGGGGATTTTTTGCGAGAAACGCGACCAACAACCAATCACATGAATCTCCCGCCCCCGACATACAAAGCAGAAAAGCCCGAAGTAAACTGGATATAAACTCCCCAAAACAGGCGAAAACATACCACTGTCTCTGCCACCTCCCTCCATGCCTGGCTCCTCCGGTTTGTATCCCGGTAGGTAAATAGGGACTGGTCATAAAGCACCGGGTGATTCCCTACCGCTAATTTCTCCTCCATTTTTTGGAATATGAGGAAATGACCTGCGGTATGTCTCTCCCAGCATACACGGGGTTTGATTGGCTAGCGCTTGAACTGTCAGATTTGCATACACGGGATTTGATTGGCTGACGCTTCCACCTCAGCTTCAAAAGTTGAACATTGCTCAACTTTGAATCCTGAAAATCCTGAAAATCTCCGCTCTGCTGCCCACAATGCAGTTCGGTGAAAAGTGACGTCACCCCATTCAAAGTGAATGGGCAGAAGCGTTAGAAGATTTTTTTAACGCTGCTGTGTAGACGCTCCGTCAGAGAAAGTACCAAAAGTAAGTAAAAACAAATTGAGCATTGCAGTAGATTTCTCATTAGCATCAGTATTCCCATTTCTGTAGTAATGATTTTAGATGGCTAGGAGAGAGGTTTAATAGAATTGCATTATTTAGTCAGTTTAAATATACTGTGCACGTTGAAAATGACAGCAGAGGCCTGTGTGAAAATACATCAGAGGAGCGGGACATAAAAAATGTCGGGCAGCATTGCGGGGTTCTTTTACATCTCTCATTTCTGAGCCACCTTCAAATAACGGCGGCACTGCTGACTGAGTCGGAATCCAAAACCAATTTTCCCTCATGGAAATGGTTCTCTATTGATCCCCATCCTGAATTAATTGGATTCATGTCATGTCCGTGTAGAAATAAAATCATGGCAGAATACGTGCGTGCGTCTTGTGTCGTTATGTGTTTGAATGGAGCGCGCACAGATGTGTCTATACATAATGTGCGTCTGACCTCTCTCACCGTACAGATCAATGATCCATAAGACGACCGTAAGCCTGTAATATGGTGTTCTTGCCACCTTAGATCAAGGTCAAGAGATGCACTGTGCGGTACTCACAAAATACTGTTACAAAAATGGATACTGCCAGTGCCATTATGGTGGGGTCCACTATACTGTTTACACAATTCTGGAGGTCCAATTGGTTTTCTTACAGATCTGAAGACTGTAATTCCTAGGTGGAATGAGCCTGAGTCCCGAGGTGAGCTTGAGAGTAATCTTGAAATGTAACATCTGATCTAGAGTTGCATCACTTCCCTGTCAATATTATTTAGTTCTTTACCTTCACTGGAGCTTTTCTCGATTTCTTCGCCTTGGTCTCCTGAATCAGTCGTCGTCTCCACAGCTGGCGGCGCCGCAGGAAGCCCAGGGAGCTCGTCTCCCACCAGAGGAGCCGAGGAACAGGGCTCTGCTGCTGAGACCCTGGAAGGCACCCAAATATTAGCACAGTTAAACTAACACTGTGTGCCTCATTACAGGTTTAATATCAGTGAGAGGAAGGGGAGGCTGAGAGGCTGGAGGTGGGGGTCAAAATAGTTTGTTGCTATCCAAGCATGCGAACACACACTCCCTGAAGTCTGACAGAGCACATATGGCTGCTGTCGAATTGTTGTGATAATTGTGAGGAGACTTTTTCGGAAGTGGTAACATTTTCCATATGCAGCTGAGCATTCTGTTATTTTTTAGGTTAGGAGAAATATGTCAAAAACAAAACAGATTTTAATCAAATTTGGAGGAAGGCAAGAACAAAAGTGTGGGGGGGGGAGTGTGCGGGAGAGAAAAGTTTGGGATTTTAGCCTTTGCAGACCATTTACCTGCACCAAAACCTATAAAACACTACAGGAAAGGGAGAAGACCAAAAAGCATAGTAGGGCCTCTTTAAACTGAATGTGGGAAAAGTTGCTGGTCTACTAATTATAAAGAACTTTTGCGAGGCCACATTTAAGGAGAAGAAATATAAATCACACCTTAAGTTACTTCCTTTGCCCCTGAGCACTGTCAAATCATTACCTGCCTTACCATAATCACTGCTGGCTTTTTGAATGAGAATATGTCCCTGAACCAGCTATTTAAAAACACACTCTGACATCACTGGGGAAAATCTAGTTGACACAGCTATCACACGGCTTGTGTTGATGCTGCCGGAGAGGGAGAGTCCTCCCCCACATGACTGATAATATGACAGGAAGCAGCGTGTAGGAGCGTCCCATCTACACTAATTAAATCTGTCCCTCTAAACTCCTCAGCAGCAGCAGCAGCTTCTCACAGTGATGGGAAACTTGCAGACAAACAAGACATGCCGGGAAAATAGTTTGCACAAATTGTCACAAAATTGCGGATTCTTACTTTACAGCATTTTTTTTCTTGAAGGGAGCAGGTTCTGCCCATAGCAGAAGAGGGTAAAAACACATATTTGTTTGCATTTGTGTTAGCATACACAGTATAATTATGTGAGTTTCAATCACAGGAAACCTTTTTTTTTCTCAAATTAGAAATAAAATCTATTTCGGTAAACCGTACGGTTCTCTAATCCTGTAAAAACAAATATTATTCAAAATATAATGTAAATATAATGATGTATGTATGACCTTAAAATGATCAGAATAAATACAAATAAATTAATTGTATTTTTGTGACGGTTTCTTCATTTAAAGAAAAGCTCAAAACATATTGTACAATGTATCCTTTTAGGAAGCTAACTCCTGCTCTCTGTATTCTCAATGCACTCCGATGCATCTTAGCATCATACCTTTCATCTAAATTAAATATCTATTTTATGCTATCTTAAGTGTTTTCTTTATGTCTTTTACTGGTAACTGTATTCTACTGTATGTGAGATACATTTTCTGTGAGTATGTTAAGAGAGTCTACTGTGAAGCACTTTGAACTTCAATTATTGTATGAAAGGTGCTATACAAATGAAGCTTATTGATATTATTAAAGACACAAATAAAATAATGATATATTTTTTTAAATAAGTAAAAATGTGCACTTTGAACTTAATATATAACATATTAAAATCTTCAAAATGTGTTTATTACAATATATACAGTGTATTAAAAAACAGATTATTGCTCACAAAACAAGTTTAGCATTTTTAAACTGTATATAAGATATAGTCCAAGTTCTGGTTGTTTTTTGCTGTGCTCTGCCTGTTTTGCTATAAATGCCCACCACATGCCTGGAGGCAGATGTTGTGACCTGTCAAAATATCATATCAGAGCTCCTGATAGCAGACATTTGGTTTTGCGGTGGTGTTAAGCAAAAGAGTTTAGAGTATTACTCTGCTGCATTCTTTATGAGTCTGCATCATTCGTCTCAATCTAAAAGGACAAAAATGATCTCAGCCCACATGAAGACGGCATAAAGACCTATTTGTCAACACGTACCTTGCCATAAACTGATCATTAAAACTGTTGTGAGGAAAAAGCCAGAACAATAGCGATACACAGCCCGACTGTATGTCAGGTGTGAGGGATGTGAGCTGTGAAGCTATCGATCCTGGCATATTGTTACGCACCCCTTCACAACTTATCTGTGCCTATAAGACACAGTGAGTCATATAGCTCAAGGAGAGAAGCAGGAATCATTTTTCAATGCAAATGACATAGCCTGGGGCAGAGCGCAGCCTACAGCACGAGCAGCCTGAATGCAAATCACAAACTTCCATCTGTTTCCATTCCCTTCAGCTACTGTGGGCCGGGGCCGTCCCAGCAGTCATTAGCTTCACCTGCTTTGCCCCCTGGTCCCTCTTGAGCGTAGCTGTTCTTTGTAACTGCACACGCATTGTGCTGACCATACTGATGGAGCTCTATTTGTCCTCAGGTCATACATCTCCTTCATAAACAACTGCCCACTTCTCCCATTGCAGCAACCCCACAATGCACCCTGTGCTACCGGGCAGAGTACATGACAGACTCTAATTAAAAAGCCTTCAAAAGTATTTGGTTTATGGCTTCATTTTATATTTGTATACACGTGTGTTTCAGCTTTTACAGTTTTCTTTTTTGCTCCCACAGCACATCCAACCGAGTACAACAAGGTGAGGAGGGCTGTGAAAAATAAATGTGATCCGCAAGCCGCATTACAGTTTTCCAGACAAAAGTCTAAAAGTATGCAAGGCGGCAAAAGGGCGAAAAGGTGAACTCGGTAAAAAAAGGGTAACTTTGATGGGAAAAGTAAAGTTGTACTTTCTTAGGTTCGAGCTCTACACATATACCAGGAGCATGTCAGGTTGTCATGGTTACTTTTGTGTAAATGTTCTCATTTGCTGAGGTCCCATGCCATGTGTTTAATGAAAACTATTTGTCACAGAGTAAAAAGGGAAGCCAGAAAGTAAATGCTGGCATCAAACGAACATAAATCTCACGGGAGAAAATGCTGCCTTGAGCTTAATAGCTGTAACGAGCTGATGTGCTGTCATTGCAATGTTAAGGAAAAAATACATATTTCTGCAATAACAATCCCAAAGTCATTTTAGGCAATACTATTCTAAAACTGCTGACAGATATGGTGGATGTGCTGACAGTCTTAACACCTTGATGGTGGAAAGTGCTATTGATAGCTCTTCTTTAAAAAGGCACACTATTGACTAAACCAAAGTGGAAATGTGCACTCAGCACAAATACCCCGGCAGGAGAAATTGCCAAGACCTCGCTGTGACTCTAGCGCATACACACACCCATATGCAGTTGTTCATGCACACACATATGCACACACATTAACACCCTCACACCTGTGCACAAATAAAAGGCCTCCCTTTCAGCACAGGAAAGCCCACAGGAATCCAAACTCTTTGGAGTCCATAATGAGTAGAGGTTTTTCTGAAAAACACTTCCTACAGCTGGAGCACAGGTGGGAGGCCTCACTAAAAATGTAAAGCCCCTACATGGCTTCACCATGCAGACCATCATCATGTTTTTTTAAGTTAAAGCTTTATAGAATATCCTATAAAAGAAGCAAGGAAAGTATGGGTATATGTATATAGTGTGTAATGTACCTTAGTATGGTTAACACTAGAACGGCACAATTTATTGAAATCTTAAAATATGGACTAGTGCAATATCCAAATTGCAGTGATTGCAATATTTGGAAAAGGCTAAACATGTGAAAATATCATTCTGAATTGAGTAATTTGGTGCTGCAGAAAAGACTTGCCTAAAATCGTATTCCACAGATTCAAAGAGGACATATTCTGCTCCTTTTCAGGTTCATATTTGGATGTTGTGTCTCTACTGTGACATGTTGCTTTAATGTTCAAAAAGCTCTTTATTTTTCTCATACTGCCTGTGCTGCAGCACCTCTTTTCACCCTCTGTCTGAAACCAGAGCCCAGTCTGCTCTGATTGGTTAGCTCTGTTGTGATTGATAAACCGCTTAGGCTAAGGGTCGGGACATCTCTAACACGGACAATGTGATACGGTAGTGTTACGTAGTGACGTCATTATGTTAGGGAAGTAAACAAATGACTCCAATGGAGTCTGCCTTTGCAGACTATGTACATACATATCAACTTACAGTATAAAACAATTTACAGGAAAGGGAAAACACAGCCCATAACAGGTCCTCTTTAATATAAAATATGTTTTTTCCAAATCCTTGCTTTAATATATTTGTAATAATAACGTGAGCAATGATATATAAATCTTAATTCGCTTAGATTCGCAAATCCAATCACAATTGCAAGAGCAGAAAATTAATCACATATAGTTATTTTTTCCAAATTGTGCAGCCCTAGTTAACACTATCTGGTGGTTCTAGCATTTGCTCCCGGTATGAAGGTACTGGTAGTATAAGATTTACAGTGAGAAACTGTATTTCAGTTTTTATTAAATCCTGTTTTATATTGATTATAAAAATTCCAATTTCTTAAGGCATTAAACGCCTGTCTTTCCGATAGAAAGCCTCGGGTCAAGAAAGGTAAAGTATCCAATGGAAAACTAATTCTGTCCATCAGCTCCAGGGCTGCTGATCTGTAGGTGACTTTGACTGCCACCCTCCAACTGGAGGCAGGCATGCAGGCAAAAGACAGTTGCTTTAGAGGAATCAATAAACTATCACATTATCATTTACTGTGCCCAGGCCTTGAAGCAAAATCTCTTCTTGATTGTATGAAAGGTGCTGTCTGAGTGCACCAGGGTAAGGTTCATTTCATTCATAAATCTTTTCCACCAGAACTTTATATTGATGATTTCAATACACATTACAAATAACAAAGCAGTTATTGTCTTTTGGAGGTTGATGTTTCCATATCTTATCGTAGGAACTCTGATTCTTAAATTCCACGCGTTTAGGATGTATTTCCACCAAATCAACAGTAGTAAGAATGGGTGAAGTATACAACACAAAACATAATAACAGAAATGTGAAATGTGCCTATGCAGTTTGTTAAAGTTTTATATGCTTTATAAAACTTTATTTTTTCCTTTTAAAGGCTCTGCACACCCACATACTGTATGTGTGTGAATATGTCTGTCTGTCCTCTGCTCAAGTTTAAGGTAGGCGTACCTGTGCTGGGAAGTATGTATTTTAACTATAAGACACAGAAAAAGTGCAATTAGTCCCACATTAACTCGTGCAGCTACACTAAAGCCAAGTAGATGAGTGAGTTGTCAATCACTCAGTGATACACGCCCACTTTGTCCTGAGAAGAGCTGTAATCAGCCAACCAAATTGAAATCACCTGTGTGGGTGTTCCGCACGTGTGCAGGGATTTTTAATTAAAGCCACAACCTCATAAGAAGGAAGATGAATGGAATTTAAAGAGGCCCTGTTATACTTTTGGGGGTTTCTCTTTCCTGTAGTGTGTTATATAGGTTGTTGTGTATGTAAATGGTCTGCATGGCTAAAATCCCAGTGTTCCCTCCAACGGGATTTTCTCTCTAATAACACACTCCCCCCTATGAGAAAAATAAAGACATTTGAAACATGAAATCGTGTAAACATGTCACAGATGCACAAAGTAGAATGCTTTTCAAAGAATTAAAAAAGCTGAACACGTCTTTCCCCCAATTGATATTCCACGCACTGTAAAGCATAAATCCCATTTACTTTTTTTCAAGGCAGATATTTATTTTTCACAGCAGGTAACGCACAGGTGCAATTAATAACATTAATTAAGGCTGCATATAACATGGGTGTCCCAGTTTATAATTCCTGGTATTGAAAACACTTGCTAACAGGAAAGGCCTAAAGGGACATTTACGTTAATTAAGCCAGCTAGTGTTTATTCATTAATATTTTTCCTGCATGAAAATTCTAAATACTACCATGAAGAAGATCTATTACTGCTGAAGGAAAATGTCATTATTAATTGCTTTGAGCATCACACATTATTTTCCATTCGGACAGCAGCAGAAATTGTAGAGATGACTATATTAAACTTAAACATACCGATATGGAAATATTGACACATTTTCTTTTTTGTCAATGCGTGACTGACTTTTTAAATTAAATCCATCTGACACTGCATGATATGGTATATAAGCCATGCTCATCATATTATACCACATGCATCATCATGAATAAGGCAATCATGTGATTTCCCTCTAGGATTGTATCAGTAGCATCACTCCATTCCTGACATTAGCACTTGTCACTTCGGGTGTGACACGCCATCTGGCATCTGAATGTTGTTGAAATGGATACAGGGTAACATCACAGTATCTCATACCCACTGTTGCGTGTTCTGATTGAGTGTAAGCGTGACATTATCTCAGACATAATGACAAAACGCTGATGTGGTTTGATGTTGAGTTTACTTTCTACACTGCCTTTTAGTAATTTTCCCCACACTGTAATGAGAATCAAAGGCAACTTACCCGCTGGGTGACTCTTTGACTGGAACATCTGTCAAAATGAAGAAAATAGCAACCATGAGACAAACTATTCCAAATCAAAGGAAGAAGATAGTGGAAAACACAACTTTGTCAGCATTTAAAAAGACAGCGTGAACGACTATGACTTTGAAATATGATCACTTAGTCTGTTACTTCTTGTACACAGTAGAGCTTCTCAAAACCTTAAAAAGATACTGTCAAAAACAAAATCACGCTTGCTCACATGGAGAACACCCAAGAGATAATTTAGTAGATTGTGTGGGGTTGTCACAACAATGAGTTTGCATGGTTGTTTTGTAACAGGAGAAGTGCATTAAAGGAAAATAAATGTCATGATCAATTTCCTTCCCACCATATGATGTGTTGGAGGGGGATCTGAATTTATAACAGCTCTCATTATTAGACCTCCACTACACACCATTATAATCTCCAAGAATTCCCCTTTGCATCACCACAGTCCACTTAACAGATTACTGCACATATACTTAGTTAAAAAGCTTTTTAATTAAGCATTAATCGCTCCACTTTGTCCAACAGAACTTCCCCAAGACCGAAATCTCTTTATCTGGCCGTGTAATTACAAGGGTCTGTTTGGCAATGTTAGCCAGGTAGTAAATATATCATACTTATATCTACATATCTCCATCCAATTAAAGGAAAGTTAACTCAGCTGTGTCTGCCTGAGGCATTAATTAAATGCTGTTAAAAAGAGATTAACAAGCTGAAGTCACTGACTCACACAGTGTGTGGCTGTGGAGAACTGATCGTCAACTAAATAAGAAACATAACATCTTAGAGCTAGCTTATCAAAGGCAGATTATTGCACAGTGACTAAGTGAGAAGTGGTTCAGTGGTATGCCCCGCAGCAGTTTGATGACAGTGAACATGTTGAGAGGATAGAACCCAGCATGTAGATTTTGGTTACAGTACAGCAGTTTAACTACTATCCGTGTCTCTACAGTAATAAAATGGTTGAGGTTATGTTAATTTGATGCTGTCAAACTGTCAAAGTCTACACCCATCAGCAGTGGTGGAAAATTATGTTGGGAGTACATTCCAGTATGTGATTGTACTGTACTTTTATTCAGATTGCTGGCATCCAGTTTTGCCCAATTTGCCAGATAGGGCCCTTTATAAACAGTCTATGGATAGGACAAAGGAACTGTTACACCTTTATGAACAATAAAAATACAATGTATTCTGTTCTAAAATTAGACTACTTTACACTTTAACTCCACTACACTTCAAATATATTATTGTAGGCTACTCATTACTCCACATTTGCATTTATTTATCAACTTTTGTTACTGTTTTACTGACTTATATATTCAAATGTAAATCCAAAACTAACAGCCTAAAAATTTGACTCATTGTATAAAACACTCAAATACTCCCAATACCCTAAGGGTCAATGAATCAGTAACGTTCATAATAACAAAAATGGTCTATGAAAATATATAAGAGTGTATAAGAACATGTTTTAATAATACCGTTATGCATCGGTCTGCTAGGCAGAAACGTTGCTGAGTGACGTTAACACGCTAACTTTACAGTGATAGCCGCTCCGTTAACTAGTTATTTTGTGTGATGTATCCGGGATACTGATGGAGATGTTGACATTTCTACTTCTGGTAAGTCGCTGTATTTTCTTGGCTGGCTACTAACACGGTGCCAACATTCAAGTTAGTTATTTCTTCATTAGTTCTGCTCAGATATAGACGGTGTTTCCTTTGTTTGCATTGCGCTAAATGGAGTTAGCTTTATCGAGGCTAAATTAACCGTGAACTGTTCATGTACCGTGAACATCCAAACCACTAGCTGCTGCTAGTTAACTCTCTTCACACACCCTTGTTGTTGATGAACCAATGGGACGAACCTACCGGTATTTTGTAAAAGGCAACGCATTTCCCTTTTACCCTCCATGGGCTTTTCCTTTCTTATTCTGCTCCTTAGAGTCCCTATTGGTTTAATACACCTTTCATTTTAAATCTGATGATTTATGACGTATTTTTAATTTTTTGCAGATATGTACCGAGCTCAATGAAATAAACTGTGGAAAATATTTATATTTTCCCCAACAGTCCCAATGTGCACATTAGAAGAAGAGACTGATCAATATCTGCTGTTTTGAAGGAATAAGTATTCACTAATTGGTTAATATTAAAGTACCCTACCCTGCTCATCAAAAAATGCACTTTGGTGCTAATTAGCTAGGCCTGGTTTTGTTTTAGGGAAGTTCTGAATTTAAATGCATGTTATTGGTATCAGGTAAAGAATCTAAATGGGTTACATCAAGTACTGCCTATTAGTGTACATTTATCATTTTTAGATTGTTCTAAAAAACGAATCCAGTCGTATAATCTGTACATTAATCGTGCAAATGTGTTACCTGCAGTAGAATTTGAATCTACATCCTTGGTGAGGATCTCCTCCTGTCCAGCAGGAGGCGACGTTATAGGAAGTTGTGTGCAGTCTGTGCCTGTTAGTGATGAACTTCCTGATGTTTCACTGTCCTCCTTTTTTGATGACTGGACTGATCCAACAGAGTCAGAGGGGATGCCCTTACTGTCCCCCTGAGGTTTCTCCTCATCCCCACTGTCCTCAAATGAAAACCCTTCCCCTTGCTCTTCATCTTCGTCCTCTTCCTCCTCCTTTGGCGGTTGCTGTTGAGGCATCACAGTCGACATGCTCCCTAAAAAAAGAGACAACATTCAAGTTATAAGTTTGTTCCAAAATGAGTTGAAATGACACTTGTGATTAAATGATTGATACCAAATAATCAAAACAAGTTTTAGTATAAAAGAAGTCAGGGTTAAAGGTGGGGTAGGTAATTTTGGAGAAACCAGCTCGAATGCGCTCGAATTTGAAAATACACAACCGGAAAAAATCTGCCACTTCCTTACAGAGCCCCTCCTCCAACACACACGAATGTGCACATGACCAATGAGGGCACGAGATAAGTTTGTGCACAGATGGAAGGCTGACAGGCAGGTAGGCCATCCAGTTATTTTAGCCGTGCCGGCTAAAATGATTGGTCGTGCTTTTTACAGCGCTACGGCTTCCACAGATGAATTGTTGTTATGTATTGTTTGTCAAAGCATTTAATATATTCATTGCTATCGGGATGTTAAAGGTAGGGTAGGTAAGTTTGAGAAACCGGCTCGCTAGAATTTGAAAATACACAACCGGAGAAAATCTGCCACTTCCTTATAGAGCCCCTCCTCCAACACACACGAACGCGCACATGACCAATGAGGGCACGAGATAAGTTTGTGCACAGATGGAAGGCTGACAGGCAGGTAGGCCATCCAGTTATTTTAGCCGGGCTGGCTAAAATGATTGGTCGTGCTTTTTACAGTACTACGGCTTCCACAGATGACATCTTTTTATGGATTTGTTGTCAAAGCACTTAAGATATTCATTGCTATCGGGATGTTAAGAGCATTCCATGGAATATAACAAAAAGTGTATCTCGAGCCGGTTTCTCAAAATTACCTACCCCACCTTTAAGAGCATTCCATGGAATATAACAAAAAGTGTTTCTGAAATAAATTACATACCCCACCTTTAAGGTTTTGTAATGACACAATGATAGCACTTCATCTCTATAATAATAATTTAGGATAGGATTTATTCTTTATTCCGGGATTTGCAAGCTTTTAAATATGTCTATTCTAAAAATCAGAAGCACAGAAAAAAGATTCCATTCAAGTGATAACACGCTGCACTTAATATGAACTCAGGACTTATTGCTTGAGCCTTAATCTGCTATTTCCAGAGTACCGACACTCAAAATGTTGTTTTAACTTCCACCGTGTTTGGAATTATTTGAATAATGGCACACAAAAATAAAGGGAAGCAGGGAAGGATTGGAATGTTCTCTGGAATGTATAGCAACGCTGCTTAAACAAAACAGACACATTTAGAACACTTTTAGATACAAATCAGTGTTGTGGTAAATGACACTGCAATGAACTCTTAACCCTGCAGCTGTTTTACAACTAAAAGTTTGACAGTAATTGTCAGACTTGTGTTCAGCCGTAGTGTTTACCTGCAATGCATAAAAAAACATAAATGTTGCTTTCTTTTTAAACTGTTTGACTATATAAATCCATAAAACTGAGTGATCGGCACTTAGATCTAGATCACATGCACAGAGAGAGTTCAATCTTAGCTCTATGACATATGGCCATTAGAAAACTGTTAAACTGCCAAACATAAAAGTCTGACGAGGCTTAGTGGCAGATTAATTAAGATACACACACACACTGATGTAAACAAGTGCCCCAACAATACAGACCTTCATTATCTAAGAGGCTAATTACATCTAGTCCTATCAATCGAAACAGGTCTGACAGCAGACAAAACTTTAGAAACAAATTCAACAAATATGAAATACACAAGCAGTCATACTGTATTTGCAAACACATCATGTTTTGTGATTTTAAACCCATGGTACTTCCTCAACAAAAAGCCAGCCATGTAAATTGTCAGCTGCAGTCATGTAAATGAGAATTGTTTTTCAGCATATTTTCGAAATAAAATGGACATCTTCCCTGACGCACCAGCTCTCAAGGAATAAAATTGCTGCAAACAGAAATTGTTTTTTTATTACACAAAGTGGGGATTTTCTCTGACGTACCCGCTCTGTGCATGTTGGTGTACCGCTCAATGAACCCAGCATCTGCTTTGCATTTTGATTAGCATTGAACTGCTTCCAATGCTGGAACATTCTTGGGCCTGATGGGGCAGTTTGTCGGGCTCCTTTGGGGGAATGACAGCATGGAGCGGAGGCGGCTGAAACTGGACCGGGCTATACATTTCATTGTGAGCAGCATGTTGTTTAACCTGGACACATGGGCTGTTATGCTGTCAGTTACAGCTCTCATTATCTTTTACTACTGCTTTTTGACAGCTGAATGTAGGCATGATGTTTGTTAGCACTGTGGTTCAGTAGCAGTGATGCCTTTGAAACCTAATTACCATATGTGTTGAAGAAGGCTTTAAATTACCTAGAAAAATAAAAGCAAGGGTTGTTGCATTCTTTAGGAATCTGTTCTCTGCGTGTTTACGATATGTCCAGCAGCCTTTGGACCAAGCCTCCTCCTCTTGTAACACACACACAGTTTTTCCAGTCGGCCTACACATCGGTCAAATAAACAATGACTCTTTTGTGGAGGGAAAAACTTATGCTCAGCCTTAGAAAGAATTGTTTCTACATTCGTCACTGCAGCACTGATTAGCTCACAGGTCATTGCTGTGTGGGCTATAGTATGGCTCACATAACTTGTTGTGAACAGTAACTAAGTATAATCACTCTACTTTAGTGCAAGTTTCAGGTATTTTACTGGAGTATTCCCATTTCCTTTTATACTTCCACTCTCACACAAGTAAAAGAGAAATCATGTGCTTTTCACTCCTCTTCTTTTTTACGTGATTGCTTAAGTTACTTTGAAGATTCTGATATTAAGATAATTTAGACGAACTATTAATCCCTTGAATGAGTCATAAACTCCATCTTAAAGAGGACCTATTTGGCTTTTTGGGGGTTATCTTTTCCTGTAGTGTGTTATAGGTTTCGGTCCACAAATGGTCTGTTAATACTAAAATCCCAAAGTACCCTAAAGAGGGATTTCTCTGGATGTTTTTCTGAAATCTGCCATTTTTCATTTGGAGTACTTTTTATTCTTTAAGTATGTTTTGGTGCTTTACGTTTATGCATATATTAAAGAAACATTTTAAATGCAGGACTTCTACTATCAAAAAGTATTTTTACACATTGATTTGATTACTAGAACTTGAACAGAAAAGATTGTGTCCCTTTTGAATCAACATTATAGAAACCAAACCACCAGAATGTCTTGCCACTGCTCTTCTACAGATGAAAGCCATGCTAACTAAGTTATCATTCTTCATTGTTCACTGGAGTGAAAGGATTAAGTGAGCATAAGACCGCCGTGATATCTCGGAACTATAATTCATATTTCCACATTATGACAATCAACAAGACAGCTGGTGCCTTGAATAAAAGTTCAGCTTGATAACACACACACATAAAACTGGAAGCCTAAAAGTTTTTCACTTCAAAAAATAACCCTCCGCAGAATCAAGATGACAGGTATTCTGAGAAACTTTCTTTGAAGGGAGGCAATTGGACAAGCCATCAAACACTCTCCAGCTTAGAAAAATAAAGAGCCCCGGGAGTGGAGCTTTGTGAAAGCTATTCTTAAGGGAAAATGAGATACATCACAGAATAGAGATGAAACTGACTCCTACACACCCTGTCCCTGACCTACTTAGAGCTCGGAAACTCTCCCGCTGTTCACCAAATGTGCTAATGAGTAGAGGGATGTTGTCTACGACTAAAGGAAAGTGAGGTGTGTGTACACTTTCATTTGTGATCCGCGGTACATAGGCTTAGAAAATCCTGATTAAAACTTCAAAAATGATGTAACGTCTTGTTAAAATGTAGCAGTTCTTGGATTTTCATATTCAGTGTTGTTTTTTATTGTAATTTAGTCAAAGATTTTTTACATTTAAATTGCGCAATCCTTGATTACAGAGTTGGATCTTGTGTGTACTTGGCACATTATTTAGGTTGCCTCATTTCTTCTGAGCTCCCTTTTGTACTTCACTTTACAAAGCAGAACGGATATGTAATCTGCTTTAAAAAATGAAATTTAAGGACAAAAAAACGTTTCTGCTTTCTAAGCATTCAGTAAGGACTTTGCTGATCTGCTGGGCCGCATATTTAGTTCTAGCCACTGATTTAGAGAATGTTATGTTTGACCAAGTGCAGACAAACCTCACATCCATTGGTCAGTGTCAGTCGGGTATATCAATACACAATGGCAGAGAGCAGCAGCTGGTGACGACTGAATAAACAGCATTGGAAAATCTAACAGAAAGTCACTGAGCCCACCGCTACTTAGCTTTTGCCTTAACAGCAAACGGCACACAAACTCTCAGCAGACAATGAGAGAGCAGCGGACCGTTGACAACAACAAACAGTGCCAGGCGGAGACGTTTCTGCCTCCTGCGCTGCTTGCTTCTTCAGCTTTCCCTAAGGACTTCCTATCAAGAGATACCAATGTGACGTGGCCAATGTTGGAACTGCAAACAGCTCCTGGAGAACAGTATACTTCTCAGGCTGTCAAAAGGCATCCCAACTGGTGGGAGGTTGTTCATTTCATGGATTTGCCTTAACATTGCCCTTCCAAAAAAGGTTTCATGAAATACAGAAGAACACAGTCTCTTGCATTATTCATCATGTTTTCAATATTTTACATTTCTGAACACTGCGTGCCGAAGGCAATGTGGAATATAATGTTCCACTGTAAACACAACAGGTTAGAAGGTTAACCATGCATATTTAAGATACCGTCCCCCAGGTTTTAGGTTATTTGGCCACAGTTAAGACATTCAGGAACATGTTATTCATTCAGGAGCCAGCCCGGCCTTCATATGCCCTCTACTGTGGGCAGCAGCTCCAGTAGTGTCAGTCCTCAACAGCAGAGATGTGCTGATGGTGTTGCATTATTCAAGGACACAGAGGAGTAACCTCCACCTCCCATATGGTACTTTTGCTCAGGAAAAAAAAGCATGCTGGACTCATGTGTGCTTTATTGAATAAACACTGAACAGAGATAAGAATGTCCTGAATGTGTTAACCTGACAATGCTTTGGTTTATCAAGAGAAATACTTATGGCACACAATTTTTCATGTTGTATCTGCCGAGGCTGGACTGGGTGGTTCATCAATGCCAACAACGTAACAAATACATTTCTCTCAGTTTTTATGGATAACAAAACCCAATCTCACTCAGTCTCTACCATTCTCCCACCTAATTTGTTTTCAACCATTGTGAGACACCATCATCTTTTTACAGAAAATGGTAAATGGACTGCATTTATAGCTACTCCAATCTTTACGACCCCTCAAAGCACTTTTATATAAACAATTCAGTATTTACCCATTCACACTCATTCATACAAGGTGCCACCTGCTCAGAAAGACTAACATTCACACACACTAACACACCAGTGGCGATGCCAGCGGGAGCAACTCGGGGTTATGTATCTTCCACAAATACACATGGACATGTTGACTGCAAGGGCTGGGAATCAAACCACCGACCTTCAAAAAGATGACCACTCCACCTCACAGCCACAGTATGTTATTGTTTATAAAGGTAGTCATTAACTAGCTAGCTTAGGAATACAGCACTAGCTGAAGGCTGAGACAGAAACTCATGTAGCAAAGGCTAAATGTATTATGTGCCGCAACCGCTCTTGGCACATCGAGTCGTTTTTTAAGTCGTAATTTATGGTTTCTTGATTGGTGTGTTGTTTGTCAACTCCCTATTCCCATGTAAAACAAGTACAGCCATCAAAGTAATTTTGTACCTTTCCTATGCAGAAGATACACATTAAAATGGCCCTATTATGCTTGAAGGGGTTTTCCCTTTCCTGTAGTGTGTTACAAAATACCAAACTTCCCTCCAGAGGGAGTCTCTCTCCCACACACTCCCCCCTGGCCTAAACGCCTCGACGAGACTCCTTTGTTTACTTCCCTAACATAGTGACATCACTATGTTACGCTTGCGCTTCTATCGGCTAGCACTCCAACATATTGTACGTGATAGGCTTAGGGGCGGGACATCTCTAAGCAGTTGACCAATCACTTTAGAGCCGGCCTGCTAACCAATCAGAGCAAACTGGGCTCTGGTTTCCGACAGAGGGTGAAAAGAGGTGCTGCAGCACAGGCAGTATGAGAAAAATAAAGAGTTTTTGAACATTAAAGCAGGTAAACATGTCACAGTAGAAGCACAAAATACAAATGTGAACCTGAACATTAGTATAATAGGCCCCCTTTTAAATTGCATTTCAATACATTTTGGGGACCCACAAGAGTTAAACTGTTATCAGGAATAGAACAAATAAATGCAAAAGAGGTCGCGATATCTTGGCTTTGATTCTTAGAGTGGGTACAGTTAAAAATACAATCCATCCTTCAAGTGTTGTTGTATTATTGTGAGGGTAGTGCAGAGGGAGTGACAGGAGAGGTGAAATGGATATGCTGTTATTCAAAAAAGAAATGGAAGTTAGTTATTGTAATTGGCCCTCTGTTTTGGCCCTCTTATTAGCATGGTCAGCAGTATCTTAAAAAAGACCTGCTGCGTGAAAGATATTACTCAATTGATGAGTCATTTATAAGTAAAAGAGAAGTGATACCTAAAGTTTTTGATCGAGTGTGACTAACATTTAGAAGTCAAGTCACACAGAAAAATACTCTTTAATCTTAACCCTGTATTGATGACCTGGCCTGTGAATCATCATGTTTCAGTGTCCAAGTAATCCGGTGATAAGTTGTAGCCCACAGTATGATGCAGATAGCATTGTTTGTGTGCACAATGTCATACTTCAAAACCCTGCTCTGATGTAACAAACCGTTAAAACACTCCCTGTCTGGTACATGCCCACCACGCCTCTCAATCTCCACCCTACCAGGTTCCAACCCCAAGATGACATGTCATCGAGGATGTTTCCCAGAGAATCTCAGACCTGCCACAGCTTGCCACAGAAGAACTCTTATGAACTTGTATTCACACGCTAAAATATCCCCATAAAACATGAAGTTAGCTTTTACATGTAGAGTCACCTTCTGGTACTACAGCACACAGATCAGGCTTTGTTTTGCTTATCGGTTCTTTTCATAAATGGTAAGCTGACGTTTCACATTTTGCATCCATTTTTATAGACAGCTTCACTTCCAAAGTCCAGAGCACATATCCAATACGTTTAAACATTAAAAGATTTGATTACCCGAAAGAAAGTCACTTTTGAGTTATTAGTTTTAGTTTGTGTGATGATCCTGTATGGTAGATTTGCCATGTCTATAGCCCTTTGAAGTAGTACAGACTAAGACAACTGTGTGCAAATTGAGTTCTGTTTCTGATTCAATGGCAAAGCTCCAATCTTAGAGATATTAGAATAGCTACCTCCTCAAACAAATTCAGCCTGATCCTGGACAACAGTATCACCACTAGTATAACAATGCCGTGAAACAGAACAACAGCATCACCACTAGTATAACAATGCCGTGAAACGGAACAGCAGTTATTTGAACTACCGCAGATCTAAAATGTCGGATTAAATCAGTCTCTCACAATTCAGATTTTGGCTGGGGAAGTGACCTAAATCTTTTTTTCCCAGTCAGGTTTTTGCCTTTAGCATCAAGCATTGTGTTTGTCTGATCTTAGCCATCATACAGCATTAGGCAGCAAGGCATGCTTTCACTATCATCAATGTGAGAGAAAATGAGCTCCAATCTTATTAGATATCTATGAAAATATGCTTCTGAATCAAAGTGTTCAGTCACAATTCAGGAAGTGCCATGAAAGGCATTTAATATTGGCTAACTACCAACAATTAAAGCAATCATGATTCATATTAAAGATAGGAGCTTCAGATTATTCTTCAAATTAGAGTAGTTATGTTGCTTTGGCCTGAAGGTTTATCGGAAGACCTCAGAGGATATTAAGTCCTGTTTGGTTGACAACAAAATACTGAAGGTAGGCCTCAACTTACAAACATCCCTGACTTCCTTCTGTTGGGTAATCTGACATTCCCATGGGAATGCAGTCAGTGTGTCACACAGTACACCTGTAAACATATGGCTGGCGTGACACCACTATCAAATGACCGATTGTGTTTTGAGCACCAAGGCCTCGTGTGTGTACATATCAATGCATTAGTACAAGTTCATGGGCGAGTGTGTGCCAAAAGAGAAAGAGTTCCCATTGATAGTGAAGTCTTTGTGGTAACAGGCCATGCATGCATGGATTGTTAATGTGTGTTGGAAGTGCTAGACTGTGACTAAGAAGAAAAAAATCTGATACAGTGAGTCCATGGAGTTACTAAACAAAAAAAGGGCACTTGGACATCCGGCAAGTGAGGCAGAAACAGTGCCCTAGCTTAAAATGCAAATTAGTTGGTCAGAGGTCTCCTAGTCCCCCTCACCCCCCATCTCCCCTCTGTTGCAGAGTATAGAGGCAGCATGAAATCCATCCTGGGAGGGGCTATTGTACTCCGGGAAGTAACCGTCAAACTGGAATGGTTAAGGACGGGCCAGAGGATCTCTTTTTATAGCCTGAGGCTGTGGGAGAGTTGTGCAGTGCTGCAGAAAAACAGCCGGCCAGAGGTGTGGGTCTGGGATGAGCCGGCAATCTCCCGCTCATCCTTCCTGGTGTCTGTCTCAGGAACTGCTGCTATCATAACAAGGCCTCACGCTCTGTAGCTCTGCCGGCTTGGGTTTAATCGTCCATGATGGTGTGTACTCTGCAAAAAAAGGCCACACGGCTACTATGTCGTTCCCATCCTCTCCTCCTCCACCCGCTGAGACAGAGAGGCACAAACCAGCAACACCCACCCCCCAACTCCACTCCATCAATGGACAAAGCTCCTGTCTCTGCAACATGCTAACCATGCTGAGAGAGAGAGGAGGGAGAGAGACAGAATGGAGGAAGGAAAGTGTTTAAAGGATAACATATCTCACCTCCTTGCCTTCAGTAGTATGTCCTCGGAGAAGCTTCAGGTCTCCCTGGTGGCCCTTTAATCCTGGTTACCTCCCATAAACTCTCAGTTTTTACCACCCTACCGGCTCCAGTACACTCATCCCTCTGGTGTTCTGCGGGGGCTGCAAGGGGCTGAAACAGATTGGATTCTCCTGTGCTGTTTACTTTCCCACAACTTCTCCCTGCTCCGTGTGCACACTAGCAGCTCTCTATGAGGTAACCCTCTTTGCTCCCTCCCCTCTCCCTCTGTCGCCTGTGTGCTTGAGTTCCTCCCTCTATCTCCCCTCTCTGTCCCTCTCTTTTTTTAGATGGGTCTCTTCCCCCCACACAACCCCTCCAGTCTCATTCTGTCCTTTCTTTTGCTTTTCTCCCTCCTCCCACTCCCCAGACCCCTGCTGCTGCCCAGACAGCAGCACAAAGCAGGGTGAGGGCTCTCAAACACAAGCAGCCAATGGCAGAGCAGCAGAGTCAAGCATACAGCCAATGAGAAGCTTAGGGGATGTGTGTTGACCAATGAGGGGAGTTTTTCAGTAGAAGTGGGCCGGACAGAAGGAATTAGGGGCAATGCTGTCTGAGCACTTCCGTGTCGGACTGAAGTTGTCTGTTCACATGGTACCGGAGTCCGCTGCGGACTGTCTTGTCATTGGCTGAGATTTAAAAAGAAAAAGGAGGTAAGGGGATTTAAAGGGAACATCCGAATGAATTGGAGTAATACATGTAGCGTATTTGTTAACATTTACAAAGGTAAAATGACACATTGCTCAATAAAAAAATGTATATCAAGAATATAAACACTGATTGTTTTTAGGGTTGGTGTGTGTTGCAATCAAATTCAAATAGTAATAGCAGTATAATTTCCCTTAAATGTCAATAACCCTAAATGATTTGCATATATTTTACTCACACTTGCTAACCTAAAACCTACATTTACATTTGAGAAAACTGCAACTACTTCTGGAATTGATATAGCATATTATCTTTATATATTTTTAAGTAGTAGATTGGTCTATTAAAGAGCATTCTAACCTATTCTATATAGTGAATTATTTGATATTGTTACGTCCCCAATAAGGTCTAGGGGAACTGGGGACAGTAACACACAACAACCAATAACGAGAGTCATAGTGAATGTTAACACATGTATTTATTCTGTTCACAAAAATAACGCCAACAAATATTCCTTAAGTGAGGAGAAGAAGGAGACGAAGGAGATTGTGCCAAACAAAATAAACAAAACTATGCTCTAAATCTATCCTTTGAAACCAAAACTCAAACAAAAAACCCTCACTATCTGAATACTAAAGATGAGACAAAGCAAAACAAAGGGGTGGCAACAATCCACTAACCTAGTGTGTCTAACAGATGTTACCTAGGTGATGAGATGTAGGGTACCCCAAACGTACCTAACTCCTCCACCTCCCACCACACACACACATTCAACAATGCTCGGAAAACAAGACCCACAGTAGAATCAGCAACTAACAAACAATCATACAGCAGCTCTGTAGTCAGCAGCAGGCCCAGGTTTTAGAGGAAGAAGGCTTCCTGGGTGCCTCTTTTATGACTGGCCCTGGCTGCTGATAGGCCAGCTGAGGGTGGGGGGATCCAATCAGCCGACTGTCTCGGGTGCCCAGGCAGGTACTGATCAGCTGCTGATTAGCTGCAGTGAAAAAAAAGGAGAGAAGAAAAGAGAGCAAGAGGAGGGAAAAACAACACAACATGTACAGCCTGCCTGGCACATAACATATACTTTATAGATATGTATCTATTTTCTATTGTATTTGTTTTTGTTTTCAATATGGGCAATGCCTTGTTAACATGCTGCTGTGACAAAACAATTTCCCATTTGGGAGATAAAGTATATCTAATTTAATCTTATTTAATCAGGTAGTCTTTTGAGGTACAGACTGTGTGTGTTTCCATGGAGTTTCATCAGCCTTTAAATTAGCCTGTCCTGTCTTGAAAAACATTAAGTAAGCACAATGATATCCAACTCAAAAATAATCATAATAAAAGGAGTGCAGTATCTTCAATTGCAAATTGTAATGATGCAAAACTAGCAATTAAAGCAGATCAATGATTCCCCACTCCCTTTCAAATGCTCAGCTTCTATAAGGAGTGGGGAATGTCTCTTCAACTAGTTTGGGCTTGTTTTATTGCAGTGGGCCATACATTTACCAAAGTACAAATGATTACTTCATTTGATTGTTTCTCATTGGGACACGTATTTAGTTAAACAGCAGCTAACTATGAACATCAATTTCAACTTGAATGTCATTGTTCTTAGGGGAAATATGTCTTGCATTCAAATCAAACACAAAACAAGAGTTAAAGATGCAAAACACTTTGTACTTTGTGGAGGAGGTGGGAGAAAGGAGAACAATGGCCAAGCTGTCATCATTGTTGTACAGCATGCCCCCCTCCCCCTCCCCCTCCCCCTCCCCCTCCAGGACACCCTGTCAGACTGCATAACCACCACAGCCCCGGGTAGACCACCACACACAACAACACAGACTATAACACCACTGTTGTGCAATCTACTATGTTATGATTCTCCCACTGGCTGCCTAATCTGTTTGTACCACCCAATATCTGTAACAACAATGTTAATAATAATGTTATATAACATTGTGCAATATAAATAATAAAGTATTTGCTATGGTTATCCTGCAACTACTTAATTTCTTTATACCTGTTTCACTTATTTGTTTGTAATGCTTTTTTTGTTAAGTTTATATACTTTCAAAGAGTAATTATTATATACATTTAAAATGTGTACTAATACTTCCTTTCCACTTTCCTACATATTGTTTGATTTGGTCTCTATCAGTATTTATTCTGATTCTTGAGAGACAGCAGAATATACAACTTTGAGTACAATTTGTGTTATAAGCTGTATGATATTGTTATTAAAATGTTCTTTGTCTTTAAGGGGCCTTATTATGTTGTATTGGGTTTACCCTTTCCTATAACGTTCTTGTGCATGTAAATGGTCTTCAGAGGCTAAAATCCCACACTCTCCCCCCATGCCTAAAACGCCTTGATTGGACTCTTTTGTCCAAACACCATAGTTAGTGCTGCTATTGGCTAGCGCTTCAACACATTGTACATGACAGGCTAAGGGGCGGGACATCTATAAGCGGTTGACCAATCACAACAGAGCCGACCAGTAAACCAATCAGAGAAGACTGGGCTGTGGTTTCAGACATAGGGTGAAAATAGGTGCTGCAGCACAGGCATTATGAGAAAAATAAAGCACTTTGTGAACATTAAAGTATGTAAACATGAAAAGTAGAGGAACAACAAACAATTATAAAACCTGAAAATTAGCATAGTAGGGCTCCTTTAAACTCTGACTACTTAGTGAATGCCCTCTTTCTGCTATTTGTATCCCTCCCTGACTACACTGGTGGTTCTATTTCTGCCTCTAATCACATTTACAGGACTGCTTGCTCATGCCCTGGAAGACGCACAAAGAACACGTTTAAGAGGTCAACTCCAGATGGTCAATTGATTTAATGAAATCTGAAGTCCTTTTCAACTCAACTCAATTATTCATATGCAGGTCTGCAGAGAAAGGAACAATGACACAATGTTACTGTTGTCCAGAAGATTTATTAAAACACATTGAACAAATACACAGAATACAAATAAAAAGATGACAATTCACTTTTTCATTCAATTGCTATACAGCACAAATATCAGAACTTTTAACACTGCTTGGAGCTCATTGTCTGTAAATGCTAGATACGTTAACGCCTCCCCAAAGTGAACCGTCAGATCAAACGCTTCACATGCTGTGCATTCGCTGCAACAAAGGTGCCTTTTATCAGGGTCTTTTGGTAGCTTTTGAAGCCATGTTAATAAGCATGTACATACATTGTTAACATATTTATAATATTAGACTGAAGCCTTTTTTTTCTAACAGACATTACATTCATACTGACTTCAGTTTGATTGCATTTCATTGGAGTGGCGTGTTTTTGACGTTCTCTCGTCACTCCAGGACATGATTTCGATTAATGAGCACATACGGTGCACTCTATGGCAACACCATCCAGCAGACATTCATTTTTTTTTCAGTTCCATACGTAGATCTGTATGAGATGGACTTATCTCTGAAAAATCTTTCAAGTATTTACATTTTTCTGAGGTTCTATCCGTCGAGCAACCTAATACATGTCATGGTCGATTATAGATGGCATGAACAAAACAGCACTGATAAACACCAACAGAGAAAAGCGCAAAAAACTCATATGATGCACTTCAAGGTTCATTTCCTGTTGCTTTAAAAAACATTAGTCTGAGAATGTGTTGAAACTGAATTTAAGAGGGGTTCCAGTAACACAATATACTGTAAGTAAGTGAAAACGGGACAGAGGAAAAGAACCTCAGGACAAGAAGTTGCAAAAAGAAGAGTAAGAAAATACACTCACCAACTCTGTACAACATTACCTCTTCAGTTTGAAATAGTCCAATCACAATCGTCGTCCCGACAAAGTTAAATACGTGCTTTCAATGGCTGTTATAATACAAACATGTATGTAATGCCACTTGTCTTTGGAAAAAATAAAAAAAGTCCACAATCGAGAAATGCCTTTGTAGAAATAAAGAAAATATAGTAAGCTTGAGTTTATAAAATACTGTTTCACTTAGTGGACTGCCACTTTAGCACATAACAGTATGGACAAGATATGTAGCGATACCATGCTAACGTGTCTTCACAGGAGGTAAAGCAGTAGGCAACAACGAACAGTTTGAAAAAAGCCAAAACATAACTCACGAAACAGGAAGTGAAGACGTTATGCTGAGAGAAATTGGTCCTTGGAAAGTGAGATAATTCCTGTAAATATAGGTTTAGACTGTTAATATTTGTATCTTTAGTAACAGTACAGTACAGTCTTCACCTCTGTGGAGGAAATACACTGCATCCAAGAACAAAATCATACTGGAGTATCTTCTTTAATGGCACCAAATACATCTTATCTTAACTAACGTAAAATGAAGCAAAGCTAGTTTTGCAACAAATACTAGACTTAAAGTGACATTATGCTATAAGCACATATGTTTTTATTATGTTCTAACACTGAAAGGGAACTGGGAAAGTCCCTGGGATGTATGTAAGAGGGGGAAAAGAAACTCTCCACTGTGTTCTCAGTTAGGCCCGAACATTAAAGCCCTGTATGTTGAGACCAGAAGAGTTCCTGTTTATAGTGCAGTCCCACTGGTCATGGCCCCGGGGTTTAAGCTCTACAGCCACTACTAACATTCAAATATAAGAAGAATCACAAATATTGTACCATACACAGAAATGCTTCTCTGAAATGCGTTTTAAAACCATTCCTGCACCTTCTTCTTCT